TATTCTGTTTGCCAGTATCTTGTTGAGGATTTTTGCATCTATGTTCATTAGGGAGATTGGCCTATAGTTCTCTTTTTGGGTTGGGTCTTTCCCTGAAACACAGACTTTTTTAAATGCTGCCTATGGCAACCAGAATGTGGCTAATATTCCTGAGATCACTTCCTTTGCGAGCTGATTGGCTGTTTCTGCGGGAAAGGTTTTTCTAAGTTCCAGGGTTGGAAGTTCGAGACACAAGACAGAGGAGACTTCACCCCACAGATCCTGAGTCCTCAACAAGGAGCCAGGCAGTATAGGGTGGAAAAAGAGGAAAGAATCCAGGAGGTCCACGTGACATGAATTCGAATCTCTTTTCACCACTTCCCAGCTGTCCTGCTCCTCCAAAACACTTGTTCTCTCTTAGCCTCGGTTTTCTCCACTGTGAAATGGGTATAAATAGTACCAGTTCTGCGGTAAGCTGATGAGACTTAACATGAGATAGATAATTTATGTGAAGGGCCTGACTCAGTACAGGTATGTTAGGTGAGGGATACTTATTCATTTCTTTCCTTCATTTCCTTCTCCCTTTCTTGGGGGAAATTAGTGAGATCTCAGCAGAAATTGAAAAATGTTCCAGTCTCCTTTATACCCACCCTTCCCAGCCCCAAACCAAGGCTTGAGAGCTGTTGTTTTCCATTCTGACCTCCTTGGTCAGTCCTGATCTTAGCTGATGTCATGAGAACAGTGACGGTGCCTGCTTTCTTTAGAGAAATGATTCCCAGGCAACTCTTCCAAATTGATTTGTATTTTTATTTAGAATAGTATCTGTTAACTCAAATGATGTTGTAATTGGTAGAATTTCTATTATTTTTAAAAACTGAAACCCTGGAGAAGATGGCCTGAGCAGGGGCCAGGCTGGTCAAGGTGGAAGCCGGATGCGCTGTCTCTTCCAGCTTTGGGGTCACAAGAGGGGATGCATGCCTGGAGCAGCTGTCTGTGTGGGTGTGGCACTGCTTCCTTCAGAACTTTTGAAATGCTGTGTCACCAAAGGTCTATATGTGTATTATACACTTAACTTTTTAAATAGACTTAGATTTGGAATAATTTTATACTTACAGGACAGTAGAATTCCCATACCCTCCCCACCCAGCTTCCCCTGTTGTTGTATCTGACATCCATCACCATGGTACATGTGTCACAGCTAAGAGAGAACATTGTCACCTGGCAGTGAACCTCCATGCTCGGTTCAGATTTCCTTGCTTTTCACTCAGTGCCCATCTCCATTGCCCAGATCTTGTGCAGGAGCCCAAATTGCACTGAGTCATCCTGTCCCTCCCCTTAGTTCCCTCATCTGTGACGTTTTCTCAGTTTTGCCTTGTAGTTTCATGGCTTTGACAGTTTGGGAAGGAAGACCAGCCACCTGTTTGTTAGGTGTCCGGAAGGGTAGTGGGGCTGTGGTTCTGGGGAGGAAGAACAGCCGGGTGCCTTCCTGACTTCCCCCCAGGGTGCCTGCCTGCGTATTCCTGGGGGGCATAGCTGTGCCTCCTGGCCCTCGCCACTGCTCTTTGACTCATATTTTTTCCTCTTGTACAGCTGTTAAAAAACCTGCTCCAGCACCCCCCAAACCAGGAAACCCCCCTCCTGGCCATCCCGGGGGCCAGAGTTCTCCAGGATCATCTCAGCTTCCACCGAGCATGTCACCAAAGCCAGCCGCTCGAAGTCCTTCTCCCCCGCAGCACACAGGCCAGGCACCGGGCCAACCACTGACCACTGGCCAGCCCTCAGCACCCAGGAGGTACTCCAGCAGCCTGTCGCCAATCCAAGCACCAAGCCACCCTCCGCCACAGCCCCCAACCCAGGCCACATCACAGGTGCACAGCAGGCTGGGCGGCCAGGGCGGCCCCTCCTCCGGGGCTCTGCCTGGTGAGCAAGGACTGGAGCAGCCATCTCATACCCCTCCCCAGACTCCAACGCCCCCCAGGACCCCGCCTCTAGGGAAACAGAACCTCAGCCCGCCCGGACCTCAGACCCAGGCAGTGAGTGGCCCTGAGACTGCACAGCCGCATACTGGAACCTTACCGAGACCTAGACCAGTCCCAAAGCCACGGAACCGACCCAGCATGCCTCCACCCCCACATCCTCCTGGCGCCCACCCAGCTGGGGACGGCAGCCTCACCGGTGCGGCTCTGACGTCCTCCAGAATAGGGACAGGTAAGGAGGGAGTGGTTCCCATGGGCCCTGGTCCACAGTACCTTGCTTGGTTGCCGCCCCCTTCACATAGGCTTCCGCTGAGAGCAGGAATCAGCAAACTGTCTGTGGACCAGATCTGGCCCACAGCTCATTTGTGGAATTGAAGTTTTATCGGCACACAGCCATGCCATTTGTTGACATTCTCTGATTGCTTTTGTGCCAGATCAGCAGTGTAGCTGAGTAGTTATAGAGATCATACGGTCTGCAAAGCCTAAAATATTTACTATCTGGCCCTGTGAGTTTGCTGACCCCTGGTTTATTTCATTATGTGTTTAGGGCCAATCTGCATTTACATTTTTCTGAGTATAATGATTTTTAATCCAGGTGGAAGGTATACATAAGCGTGAATTTAATTTCTTGGTGAATTCCTTGTTTAAATATTTTATTTTCCAAGAGTGAAAATAAAAATACCATGGTAAATGAAAGATTTCAGATGATTTGAAAAATCATGATTTATGCTAAATTGGATGCTCTTGCACGGCATGGCAGCTCTGAGAACCTAATTATATCCCAGTGCTGGCCTGAGGTCTCCGTGAAGGAAGAGTGGAGGTTTCCCATAAGCCCAGTGGAAGGAACCCTGTTCTTTGAGCTGGGGTTGCAGACTGTAATGGAATAGGCAGTCTGGGATATGGCCACATTGTTTAATTATGATTTAAAAATACTTCCATCCCAGTTACTCAGATTTACTATTTGATTTAAAAGGGAATGTTTTTTGTGTTTTTAAAAATGGTAATTAGAAGCTCCACATCATTTCTTACACAACCTCCTCTTAATTACGACAGCCTAGTTATAAATTATTCTAAGGGGAAGCATTTTTGGAGTAGCTGAATTACACCCCTGGGCTCCCCAACCATCCTGAGTGATATCTCAGCAGAAAATCAGCCCCAGTACACCCAGAACTGGTGCTGCAGGTGATACCGTTGACTGACTAAGACATACCTTCTGGTGACTTCTTTTTCAGGAGTGTACTGCATAATACATACACCTATTATAAATGGTTAATGACTCTTCTTATGACATGACACTGATTTTGAAAACTGCAAAGCCACATTGGTTTGTTTGCTTGTTTGTCTCCCAGTAGATGCCCTTCCTAGCGCCCCCACAGGTGGGGAAGGCTTCCAGGACTGAGAAGGTCTGTAACCCCAGGCGGCTCGAACTGCAGCTCCGCACGCTCCTGCTTAGTGCTTAGCCGTGCTCTGTGTTTGTGCTTCTGACTGTGCCCCGGAGGGGCTGCCTGACGCCATTCCGTTCTGTTCCGTTCCGTGGCAGTCAGCAGCCGTGCGTTCCATAGCATGTGATGTTATTTTCATTGTTATCAAAAGCACTTTGAGCTGCAGCACTCCAAACCCGGGAGATAGATGTCAGGTTTCAAGCCACTTGGGTGAGACGAGGAGAGCTGCTTCTTTGTTTTGGGGAAGCTTTCGGAGCCTTCCGTGCTTCTCAGTGCACTTCGCTCGTCATCCGTTGGCTCCTCAGGCTCCAACAGAGAGGACCTGGGTGCCACCAGCGTAGAAAACTGTGTCCCTTGTGTCTTGTGCATTAATTTTCTTCCTTTTTTTTTTTTTTTCTTTTTGGTACCAGAGATCGAACTCCGGACCTTGTGCTTGCAAGGCAGGTGGCGGCACCACTGAGCTAAATCCCTGGCCCCAATTTTTGTATTTTAAGTGCAAGTTAACTGCATGGAGCTTAATTATGTTTGAAATTCTTAGGACAAAAAAAAAATCTCTCCCCAGCAGTCTTACCCCGAATTCCTTAAAGCTCATCTGTATTCTGCCGCGCTTCAGTTTTGCTTTCTTAAACCACATGAGCTTTTCAAAAGGTACTGTGAGGAACCAGGCGTGCTGCCACACCTGTAATCCCAAGCAGTCTGGGAAGCAGAGGCAAAAGGATTGCAAGTTCAGGCTCAGCCTGAGCAGCTTAGCTGACTGAGTCAGAACCTGTCTCAAAATAAAAAAATAAAAAGAGCTGGAGATGTTGCTGAGGGTGAAGGCCCTGGGTTCAAGCCCCAGTGCCAACAAAAAACACAAGAAAACCACCATGAGGCCCATCTGCGCCTGTCCCTCAGCCCACATTGGGACAGCACTCGGATCTGTCTCCTTGTGCGGGTGTTTGCTTTCATCAGAGCCCTGAGCCTGGCCACACAGGCAGTGTCCACAGCTTCCTGCGCACAGCAGAAGGGAACATGAGAGTGCGGCCTGGGAAACACAGAGCAGGGCACAGCCCTTGGCTCCTACCCTACCCTTGGGGGTTAGCCCAGAAGTCTGGGGGTGACCGGTTGGGTGAGGAAATCGCTTGCAGAGCGACTGAGCTGCAGTCAGCACTGGGCTTTTTAGTGCTTCAAGACTTGGGACACACTGGATTTTATTCCTGGATCACTTTATTTAAATAGAAGACTGCAAGCCGGAGTTGTGCCTGTTCTTTAATCCCATTGGCGCCTGCAATGCGTTATGCCAGAAGGTGGTTTTATTGATCTGTTACAGCACTGCAGTGTGCTGTCCTTTATAATTGTTAGATAAATGATGCTTCACATTTAAACATACTGTTCTGGGCCGGGGATTTAGCTCAGCGGTTTCGCCGCCTGCTTCGCAAGCGCAAGGACCCGAGTTTGATCCCCGGTACAAAAAAAATAAAAATAAACATACTGTTCCTTAAGATACTAGCTAGGTATTTAATCTTTCTATGCTACGAATCCTCCTAACACAAGACATTTCAGGTCACCTAAACGATCTTTGTATTACAGAATTAACCTTTAATACCTTGAAAGTCCCTGGAATACCACTGGAAATACACAGACGACCAGCACTTAGAATTCGTGAATCCATTGGTGGAGTTCCTGCTCCCATTGGTCATTCTTGGATATAGGCGTGGGGTTTTTCAGGAAGAAAAAGAGCAACTGCCTTGGACAGGGAGGTCTCTTCTTATGACACCATGTTTTCGCTTGGAAAACTTCAGATAGATGAATTCCTGCAAACAGGTTATTCATTTAGAGCACTTCATCTTGAAGCATTGGACTAAGGCTCATGGGATTAAGGCGAACCTCTGGGGGAGTTTACTGCTGCCAGGCAGGTTTGGCCACCAGCTCCTGGCAGCTCAGCACCAGACCTGAGCTCTGGAGAAATCCTGTGTTGTTTTGAGTCTTGAGCTCCTAATTGTGACTCTGGAAAGCAGTAGGGTTTTGACTTCTCAAATAAAAGAGTTTAACATCTTGCTGTTTTTAAAATATTAGGTTTTTAGCAAAGAGTATTCTAATTTAAACATTTTATTAAATGATTTAGATGTATGACCTGCCATATTCAGTAAGAACTGAAATTGGAATGTTTGATGGTAAGGAAAAGGCACCTGATTGGCCAAAGCATTTTTGCTGCTGTATGATCATATCTGTGCACTAATGCCTGTTGCTAACCAGTCACCCTAACCCTGCCCACTCAAACCCCTACTAATAGTGCGTGTGGAAAGGAGAACTGGCTTTCTTCATGCTTGCTGCCAATTCTCAATACTAATTGTGTTCACAGACGGTAACTGGTGACATTGTTACTTATTGAATTTCCGTTCTTTTCTCTATTGAGCAGGATTGAGGTATAGTGGGAAGAACATGCACTGTAGAGTCGGACACACCTCAGTTAGTGTTTCAGCTCTGTAACATGAGGCACGGCACAGGCTGTGGATCTAGGAGTGGTGACACCTAGTAGAACTGCTGATTCAGTTAGGTCAAATAAGAAAAGCACCTATCACCGTTTATAATAGCAGTGGATCTAGGTGAGTGGCAGTTACTAGGTTTACCTAGAAGAAAATATAGTTACTCTGAATTGCACATCAGACTCACATGTCAACATTTTAAATCTGAAATGCCCATGCCCAGCCTCCTAGGACCTAGAGACAGGATCAGGGGCAGGACTCTGGTGTCTGTATTTTAATCTAATGCAGCCCTTGGTTTTCCTACCACCAGTTCTTTCATTGGTTAAAAGGCAGTGCTCAGCTGGGTGTGGCGCTGCAGGCCTGTAATCCCAGTACTTTGGGAGGCTGAGGCAGGGGGAGCGTAAGTTTGAGCCCACCCCGAGCAGCTTAGCGATTTAGCACGACTGTGTCTCAAAGCTTAAAAGGCTGGGGACGTAACTGAGTGCAAAGGCCCTGGGTTCAATCCGGTACCACCACCAGAAAAGAGTCACTTTTTAATTTAATAAGAGCAGTTACGAGAGAACCTGGGAACCTCAACCACTGTGTGACGGACACACAGATGGAGTCACTCTCGGCATCACACAGCGGACAGTCTGCTGGCTCCCAGTGTCCTCCTCTTGAAGTCAGACTTTTCTTGTATCATGAAATAAGCATAGGTATAAAGGAAATTCAAAGTAATACAAAATCAGTAATAGTTTTACACTTGGAGGAGCCTATTTATATTCTTTTTTTAAATTCTGGTTTGGGGCTGGGGATTTAGCTCAGTGGTTCCGCCGCCTGCCTCGCAAGCACAAGGCTCCAAGTTCAATCCCCGGTACCAAAAAAATAGTAATACTAAAATAAAATTCTAGTTTTGTTTTTCTGAAGGCAGGAAGTACGGGATCATAATGTGCAGATTTTAATCCTGCATTTTTTTTTTTTTTTTTGGTACCGGGGATCGAACTCCGGTCCTTGTGCTTGCAAGGCAGGCGGCAGAACCACTGAGCTAAATTCCCAGCTATTTTGTTTGTTTTTGAGGCAGGATGTTGCTAAGTCACTCAGCATGGACTCAAACTTGTGAACCCCTTCCTCAGTCTCCCAGAGTGCTGGGATTACAGGTGTGCACCACCACACCTGGCAATTCTGCATTCTTATTTTACTTTACATCCTATGCTCTTTCCCATCTGGCAGTTTGGTTTCTATAGCCATCGCTTCAATGACTGCATAATATTTCATCAAATAGTTATATTATTGCTTGTAATTTGACATAGAAATGGCTTCTACCTCTACTTGCAGTTTATTTTTAATGAGTAGATAACAGAATCGTGTCAAATTAAACATCCAGTGAGACTTTAACAGAATATCTCCTTTAGCTAGAGTAATAAACAACCAACTCAAAGACTTTCGTAGATTACAGAGAGTGTCACTCAAAGCCTTAAAAACTAATAAGGAGTAGAGGAACCCGTGTCCCCAGACCCTGGGCTAGGGGAAGGGGTGGGTGGTGGCCTGGGGCAGGTGGTTGCCCTGCAGTTGTACCTGAAGCACTTCATTTCAGGGGTATTTGGGGATCTGTTACCTGTCCAGGTCGTTAGCAGGTAACCTTGGCCTTTTTGAAGGATGGGTTTACGACCTAAAGCACATTTTTGAAATTGTTGATGTGACAGATAATTCTAAATAACAGAATGCCAGTCTGGAGGGTCAGCTTCCTGGACTCCGGCGTCTGTGTTTTAATCTGATGCAGCCCTTGGTTTTCCTGTTACCAGTTCTTTCATTGGCTAAAAGGCAGTGCTCGGCTGGGTATGAAGATATTCAGTTGAGGAAGGGCCCTGGTTACAGATGGCCCAGCCTCAGTCCACGATGAGCCACATCATTCTCACCTTCGTGTGAGACTGGTTAGTGGGAGTCTCTTGGTTTCTTTTTCTATTTTAAATATTTGTCACGTGAACCAGGTACCACCACCGCCCTGCCCCCGTGTTGGCTTCCCTTCCGCTCTGCTGAGGATACATCTGAGGTAGCCTCAAATCTGTCCGCACAAACTGCCTTTGACTGCGCCACCACATGGCGTCATTCAGCAGCTCAGTCGGTTGTAGTTATAAGACCTGAATTGTCTGAAATGACATTTACTTTTTTTATTGGTATTGAACTCGGGACCTTGCGCTTTCGAGGCAGGTGACAGAAGCACTGGGCTGAATCCTGGGCCCTGAAGTGACATGTAGCACCTAAGCTCTTCCACACCCTGGTCCCTGCATGAGTAGGAATTTCCCCAAGGTGTGGCCCTCCCCCTGAGGGAGGGGTCTGCCAGCCCAGCCCAGCCCAGGGCCACTGTAAGCAGGGCCCTGAGAGTAAACAGACCTCAGAGTGGGGCCTGAGGACAGGGACAGGGACAGCAGGGCAGAGGGAATTTTCAAAATGGCAAACCCCACCGAAGCACATCAGCATTTGCTGGCTGTGTGTGCCTGGCTGAGGCGCTGGAAGAGCCAGCTCCCACCTAGGATAGACAGGATAACTGTGCCTTCCAGCAAGTAGAGAAGCAGCTCCTCCCTGTGTGGGCTCCCGCCTGCTCCCTACCGAAACCAGCTTGAATATAACAAACTTAACTATTTCCCTTCTCTCTTACACCAGTCCTAGGATACCCTACCAGGCTCTTGTAATTTGCCAGGAACTGCACCTTCTTTTTTTTTTTTTTTTTTTGGTACCGGGAATCGAACTCGGGTCCTTGAGCTTGCACAGCAGGCAGCAAAACCACTGAGCTAAATCCCCGGCCCTGCACCTTCTGTCTTGATGAGGTCCAGGCTCCTGCACCTGACCACAGGCATTGCTATGGCGATGTCATGTTCACTGTTGGGTCCTCAGCAGGTGGGCAGGGCTTGGCGCGTGGTTGCTGTGCAGTCAATAGCTGCTCGTGAATGAATGACTCCAACTCAGATCCAGCGGCCCCTCTGGGCCGAGAGCTGTGTCAGCGGAGGTTCCTGTGAGCATGGGAATGGGCACAGTAGCTGGAGGACCGCGTATTTGCTGACTTACTGAAGGGATTCAGACTACCTCAGTCAGACATGGAAAGGGCCCCAGAAGTATTAGAAAGATAGGAGGGGTGAGTTTTCACAGGAGACTGGTGGTCTGCCTGTTGCTGTCACCTTGTGATTGTGCCCCAGGGGCCACTGGGCAGTCTTGGGACATTCCGAGTTGTCACGGGGAGGAGGGGCTCTGTGCCACTGACATCTGCTGAGCAGAGGCCAGGGCTCTGCTCAGCCCACAGGAGCGTGCCTGACAACCCAGGGACTCAGCCCAGAGTGCTGCCAGTGCCAAGGTCAAGATCATGGCACGAGCACCAGAGGAAGTCTGTCGTCCTCAGGAGTAGGCTCTTTGCAGACGTGCTCATCTGCAGCCCCATGCTGGGAGGAGAGTCCCCTCACTGCTCTGACATCCCGATAAGCATAAGGTGAAAGGTGTGCTTCCTTCAGTGGTAGCAAGCAGGTCCCTCGAGGGCCAGGGAGCACCAGAGCTCAGAGGTGGAGCTACCCCCGGTGGCTGCCATGTGGGGTCTCAGGGCTGCTGAGGGCTCTGGTGAGGGAGCGTGAGTGCGTGAGCAAACTCGAGCTTCCCAGCCTCTCCTCTGCTCAGTCCTCGTGCCTGGTGGGTGTTGCCCTCAGTGACATCGTGTCCTCGTGTTTTTGTCCAGACACCAATTCTAGGGTTTCAGAACCACCTCGCAACATCTTTCCTGAAATGCACTCAGACTCTGCAAGCGGAGAGGCGCCTGGCCACATCCTGCTGGACATGGACAATGACACGGAAAGCACCGCCTTGTGAGGAGAGCCGCCTCCCGGCCGCGACCCTCCACCCTGGCGAGCGGGCTGGGGCAGACGACCCTCTGTCTCCGCAGACCAGACAGTGAGAAGCTTTGGGTGGCGGAGAAGCCTCGCCACGCAGGACTTGGCCTCTGCACAGCCCACTTAAAGCTGAATGAGCTGTGTCTTGAAGAAGTTGGCTTTCTTTACGTAGGAAAGAAATCATGCCAAAAAGAAGCAAAAGCACAGAAGCCTGAGGTGAGAAGAGTATGAGTGCCGAGAAGTGTGTGGGGAGCTTGGTCACCGCTGTTCACACAGGCAGCACCGGCAGCAGCTGGAGTGAGCAAGAGGCAACGCGGTTCCTCTGTTTAATAAAACGCATCAGCTCCCGAGTCACCTTCTGCCTGCTACTCACACTTCCACTCTCATGCCGGAGGAGGGAGGCTTCTCTCCTCCAGACTCGCTGCACACCCTTCTGTCTTAAGTCTGCTCTTTGTCTCCCTCAGTCCTCTCGGTCCACGTGCATTGATGGTGACTGCTGGACCTGTCACCTCGTCAAACTGGATTATGACTGTGCCTTGTGGGGTTGCAGAATGCAGATGGAAATGTACTGTTCTTTTTTTTAACCATGTAATTGCTACTTGATAAGGACCGAACATTATTCTAGTTTCATGTTTAATTTGAATTAAATATATTCTGTGGTTTATATGAAAACTTGGTAATTCTTAGAGGAGTGTGCGTGCGTGTGCATGTAGCTAGACTGTCACTTAGGTAGATAGAAGTGTGGATGGGATGTCTCGGGGCGGTGGGAGTTTGAAAGGCCTGAGAGCCGAGCCACAGCAGTCAGAGGAGCCGCCGGTGCCCCCGGGACCGCCCAGACTGCTGTCCCTCAGCGCACAGTCCACAGGCAAGGCTGTGCCTTCGGTCGCGCCGGTCCTGAGCCCCTTTCTTGTCCATCTAGAGAGACTCCGCTGAGGGGGAGCTGCTCCAGCGCGGCCCAGCCCCACAGGGCTGGTGCCTGTGTCGGGCTGTGATGCCACAGGAGTTCCTTCTTCAGTGACAGGAGCGCGTTCCTGCCCTGTCCCAAGCACCCTCCCAGGACTGGAGGGTGTGAGCAGGCAGATGGGAGTTGGAGCTGGTGAGGCTTTCCTCTGAAGAGCTGTCTCTTGGGCCCCCTCCCCGGGCCCACACGTAGTGCTTTTCTCCTGGGAACGTAGGGTGCACACTGCCAGATCTGGCTGCCCGGAGCCGCCTGTCAGTCATCTGTGGGCCTGCCCCTGCTCGGGGACATCGCACTGCCTCCTGCTAGGCACAACTCAAGCCTGACTTGACAAGGGCAACTGCAGCTTCCTGTCCCTCCCGGTTCCTGTGGCCCTAGAGCACCTTTACACTTGTTAATTACACTGATTCAACTTCCGACTCGCTCTTCCCTCCTTACTTTTCAGCATCCCCCTTTAGCTCTAGGACAAACGTGGCCAAGAAAGCAGAGTTCTGTGCAGGTTGCTGCTCAGTGCTGAGTCTGGCTGTATGCAGCCTGGCGTCTGCAGCATCTTAGAGATGCTTCACTTGGTGGAGCTGACAGTTGGGGGATTTGGGGACACGCTGTTGTCATGTGGGTGCCTGGGAGTGGGGAGTCCACACTGACATTCTGCATGTAGTGCATGTTATGGATAATTCCCAACCCAACAAACCCTACCCTCACTGCTTTAAGAATGTTGGTCTCCTGTTGTGACAGCCCCAGTCTTCAGAAAAACGAAAATTATTTGACCCTGTGTGTGTGTCGGGTAAATACCAAACAAGCTGCTGTCTGTCACCCGAAGGGGATCCAGCCCCACAGCGTGGGACCCGGTGGCCTGGTGTTGAATGTTCGGAGGTGTAACTGTACCTGGAGCTTGTCTGGAGGCAGGGCTGGGGACTGCACCTGGATGCTCTTTCTTTCCTGTTCTCAGGACCCATGATTCCTGCTTGGAGAGTCACCACGTTGCTTGTCCCTTTTGCTGTCACCACACCTGGCAGAGCCCTTTCGTCCTGCCCCCGTCAGAGGTCGAGAACTCTCATCAGACTTCCTGGTGGCCACCTTGGCTCCCCAGGGAGGTGCTCGCCTCTGGAATCCACCTTCCCTTTTCTCCACCCTTTCTTAGAAGGTTCTGGGCCCATGTTTTCTGGCCTTCCATCCCTGCTCCCCTTGCCTACAGGGTTAGGCACCTGTTCATCTTGCCGTGCCCTGCAGTTTAGGACCTGTGAGGCACTCTAGAAGGTCACAGCAGGCCCCTGGCTGGCCTGATGGTGCTGGCTTCTACCCATGGCCCCCAAGAGTTCAGAGGTGTTGGAGCCACCCAGTCGACCTTGATGGCCCTGGTTCCCTGGGAGCTCCTTGGATGGACCTCACTCCTCTCTTGGGGCTCCAGCTCCCTGCATGCTCCTCTGACAATCTTTAGGATTCCTTCTGGTTTTTCTCCCTGGGTCCTGCTCCTGCCATTCCTCACCCGTCTCTTCCATATCCCGCTGCACCTGTCTTCACCCCAGTGGTCTCTGGGACCTCAGTCTCAGTGAATCGCATCAGACGGCTGCACCTCTCTGATAGGGATGTTTCTGGACCAGTGGCTTCCACACAAGTAGAGTTAGGGAGGAGGAAGGACATGCTGGTGTGAAGCCACTGGCCTTGGTACAACCAAATGGCAAGAAGGACCCTAATGCAGTGACTGTCTCCCACAGCCGGAGAGGGCACTCGATCCCTTCCCTAGCGGGCAGGGTCCATGTCCCCCAGCACAGTGCAGGCACTCATGCAGCCACGTGTAGCTGAGAACACCAACCTGCGAGGGGAGAAGTTAGCAGGCGTGCAGAGACAGATGAAGTGAGAGCACGGGATTGGTTTCCGGAAGTTCCCAGCTTTTAGTCTGTGTCTTCAAGGCCAGACTACATTTCTTGCCTCACGATTACTTGCTTTGCACAAACTTTTCTGGGTTTGTTTCTGTTCCTGCCAACCAAATGCCTCCTGTTTGATACAGCCCATAAAAGAGGCTCTGCTGCTTGCTCTCAGGCATATGGCTAAACAGACTTGTGCAGGCAGACAGGTAAACACTCCCCTTACCCCCATTCGCCTGTCCACACCCACATGCGTTCCTGTACCTCACCTGTGTGAACTGTCTGCTGCTGTGTCATGAAGAACCACACATTTAGGTGTTTATGGCGGTGGAAACTGATCATCTCCCAGTTGCTGTGAGTCAGGAGCCAGCCCAGCCAGGCTGGAGCCTCTGCTTGGCTTCTCACAGGCAGGGGTGGACAGACATCAGCCAGGGGTGGACTCTCATCCAGAGGCTCGACTGAGAAGGACCCAGTGCCAGGCTCCCTCAGATTGTCAGCATTCCTTTTCTTGTGGCTGTGGGGCCACAGGGTCTGAGGTCCTGGCTGCTTGCTGGCATCATCAGGAGCTGCCTACAGTTCCTTGCTAGCATTACCCCGACGGGATTCCTGCTTCATGAAGTCATCAAGGAAGGTCTGCAGGGAATCTGCCAGCAAGGCTGTCATATAATGTGACCACTACATTACAGTGTGATTGAAAATAGTGAATGCTTAAAATTTTAAAAATATTACAGTAAATGACACATCGCCATTAATCCCCTTCCAAATCCTCCCCCTCTCTTGACACATGCGTATCCCATTGGTCTTGCCACTTTCTGAAGTCATTCTGGAAGTCCTTTTTCATGTCTTTAGTTGCACAGTTGTGGCTGCTCCTATGTCCTGAACCCATCCAAAGCAGTAACTTTTTTGTGGCCATTGTGACTTTGGGGAAGAGTCAAGTTGCGGTGCCAGATCTGGGGATGAGGCACATTTCAGTGTTTTATGAGCCCGCATTTCCATTAGATAACACTCAGCAGCAGCACTCATTGTAAAGACACGAAAGAAGACTTCAGAGCTGCTTCGGAGAGCGGCAGGAATAGGGCCAGGGATTTAGCTCAGTGGTTCCGGTCCCTGCCTCACAAGCGCAAGGTCCCAAGTTCAATCCCCGGTACCAAAAAAAAAAAAGTGGCAGGAATGAGGGATGTGTTCAGAGTGAGGGGGAGTGCTTTGAGGGGATTAATAGCCATGTGTCTTTTACTGTAATTTTAAAATTTAAACATGTGTTGATCAGCCCTGTTGGTATAACAACCACGACATCGATCACTACTGCCACGTGTGTTGCTTAGAAGGAAGTCACAGATTCTGTCCATACTTGGAATTAGACAAGGATGTAAGGACCAGGAGTTGGCAGTCTGCACACACACATAAAAGGTGTGTGAGAGGGGAAGACACAAGGAAGAGCACCTCACCAAGCTTCTGTTTTCTTCCTCTGCTTGTACTGAACAGAGTTGTGTTTGTTTTGTTTTGTTTTGTTTTCCCGGTACCGGCGATTGAACTCAGGACCTTGCGCTTTCGAGGCAGGCATGGTGCCACTGAGCTAAATCCCCAGCCCCTGAACAAAGTTTTTCTGCACATCAACAAATTATACTTGAGTGACCCCAAAATTTGCATGTCATTTCATGCAGGAACTCAGCATTTTCCACAGAATTTCCCTTAGAATCGATACCAAGGTCTTCACAGTTCATTGTGTATTCTCCAGGGCTTGCTCTTCCTATTCCCTGTCCTAGGCCCTGGGAACCGTACGCACCATAGGAAGAGGAGCTGCGAGTGCGCGTGGGAATGGCTGCACCTTACGCAGGCCGCTGAGGGTGCAGGCGGACCCAAACCCTGGATGGGGCGCCACTGCCGCCCCTGCTGCTGCTGCTTTGAGATGGGGGCGGAGTAAAATGTAGGGTGTCCAGGGGAGGTGGAGCTGTATGCAGTGCCTTCTGACTCGTGTTTGGAAGATTTCCAAGCAATGGTAGGGAGCTGAGGAGAGAAGGGTGCTCCGGGCCTTTTGGGGTCTTCGATCCCTGTGACAGCGGCGCAGAGCGGGACTGTGTCAGAGGTGAGACTGGAAGCAGGAGGCCACTTAGAAGGGCTGATGCTGGCCGGAATTAAGCAAGGCCAGGTGAACACATTCCTGGGAGTTGGTCAGAGGGCAGCCCCAGGGACCAGTGTCGGTGGTCCTGCAGCCAGGGACTGAATCGGCATTCACGGTCACCTCCATGAGCTCTGCCCTCAGGAACTAAGCTGGTGCAGCGGACTGGGTGTCCCTAGCCCTAGATCCCTGGGGCGGGCTGGCAAGGGGCTGTGGTTGGGGGCTGTGAGGCAAAGGCCAGAAAACACTGGTGTCTAGAGGACGAATCCACCTGTTTGTCCAGCAGGCACTGAGCAGAGCATGGTGTGTGCGACACATTCTGCCCTTCAGGAAGTGTTAGTCTGGTCGGGCAGACAGGTGAGCATTAATAGTAAAATGTGGCTCACATTTTGAAGGCACAGGTCACAGTGGGGTGGGGTGATCAAAGAAAGCTTCCTGAAAGCAGTGATGTCTGAGCAGAGTGGGGGAGTATTTAGTCAGAAGAGGAAGGAGGGAATAGCACGAGGCCTGCTTTTCCTATCTAACCTGCTTTGTAGCATCCACTGTGCTGGACAGGCCGAGCCCGAGTGTGTGCTGTAACCTTAGGTTACCCAGGGAAAGAGGGGGATCACTGAGGGCCTTGCCAGGGCTCCCAGGAAGGTGAGCTTCACTGAGGCATCAAGCAGAGGACTGGCTTGATCAGACCTCTCTGCCAGTGGCCGGAGATGTGGGAAGGGCAGGCAGGAGGCCAGGGGCTGCAGTCCAGGGGGAGATGGCCCTGGCCTGAGGAGCCTGCGGTGTACCCCGACCACAGGCAGCTCAGGCTTAGCATTTGGGAGTGCTCAGGACTAGGGGAAGCCTCTGCCTCCTGCCCCCTCCTCACCCTGGGCGGGGCTCAGTTCTCCTGTGAAGATGCTTCGGGCCCTCTTACCTCCCGCACCCCTTGGGGTCCTGCCAGGAACAGCTATGTGGGTCTGGATAGAAGCTACGTTAGCAACCAGACCCCCCAGTGGCCCTCCCGGAGCACTTTGTCCTGCCCACAGCCGTTACCCAGGTTAGCGTGGGCGGCCAGTCCTGACAAGGGTGAGCTCTGGGCTGATGCCGTTACCGAGGACCAGCTGCCCCGGGAGCTCAGGAGAGATCACTCAGACTGCGTGGTCACGTGGTTTCCTATTTCCCCTGTAGTCTGGAAATTGGGGTCCCTTGAGAAGCTGGGAGCACTACTCCACTTTGCAGTTCTGTTGGAGTAGTGAGTAGCTCCACCCTCCTCTTCACCCCAAACGGGAGCTCCCCCGAGACAGTTGTGCACATGGCAGACACAGCCCCTGTGGGTCATTTCTCAAGACCCTGTCCAGTCCCAAACCGAAAACCTGAGATGCTGGCTCTGCACACAGCAGCAGCTGCTACTTCCCAGTCCAAAGCAGCATGGGTCCTCAACCAATAGAGATTCTTTGCAGACACTCTTCCTTCTGGAGGAAGCATCTCATGGGAAATTAGGTAAAGAAACAGAATTCTCTGAGGCAGAACTTGAGAAATGCCCATAGTTACCTGATTTTCTTATAACCATGAGATTCCAGGGCAAAAAACTCAGGTCCGTATTCAGGAAATCATACCCAGAAGCAAGTACCATGAGGAGAAAACCTTTAGGATTCCTTTGAAGAAGAAAAGATCTGGGGCAACATGGTGGCACTCGCCTGTGATCCCAGCACTTGGGAAGCTGAGGAAGGAGGACTGCAAGTTCAAGGGCAGCCTGGGCAGCTTCGTGAGACCTTACCCCAAAATTAGAAATAAGAAAGCTTAGGGGTATAGCTTAGCAGTCCCAGGGCTCAACTTCAGGACTGCAAAAAGAAAAAAGGAAGAAGGAAAGGAGAAAGGAAAAGACTTAAATGTCCTGATGAGGATGGCCCATAAACACCTTTGAAGCCTCATAGTAAACAAACAAAAGCTTTATTATTATTATTATTATTATTATTATTATTATTTCGTTAAAAAATATTGTTGAAAACAAAACAGAGATGCCTGGGTTCCTCACATTAGGCAAAGTAGCCCCAGAGGAAGATGGCGCAGGTAATGCAGACGATACAGTTGATGTCCAGAAGGGTTTTCACCAGGGGGCTTTCCTCCGAGGAAGTGAGGACAGGCTCCGCTTTGCTTGGGGGCACCTCTTTGCTCTTGTTCTCCATCCCACAGAGCCACAGGATGACCCCCGCCACTTTGGACTGCTTTGGGGTCGCGTCATCTGAGAGGAACCAATGAAAGAAGGTCGGTCCGGTTGTAGGGATGGGATGGACCTCATCTCCCAGAATGGGGGGGACAGCCAGCTGTGCTCCTGAGGCCGGCGGAAGCCTTCTGCACCTGCTCTGGAAGCTTCAGCCGCCCTCCGTAGCCAATCACAAGGGAAACATTGGGGAAATTGTGTCTGTAGTGAATGTGTACAGATCTTCTCTGCCATTATTACGTAAACAATACAACGACTGTTTACATGGTGTTAGGCATTTAAAGTATGTGGGAGGAGGCATGCAGGTTATATACAAACAGGCCATTTTATACGAGGGCCCCGAGGCCCATACACTTTAGTATTTGTGGGGAGTCCTGGGGCCAGCCCCCCACAGATCCTGAGGGGTGACTGTATTCATTAACAACATAATTGGGAGGTCTCTTTAATTGTAGAAGACTGGTATTTTCAGAATTTCACTGTCTTTGGATGAAGAATTTCAGTGAAGAAACTGAGCCTTGGACTAACTTGAGCAAAGCCACATAGCTGGTAAGCTGTGGCAGGCGTGAGGTTAAGACCTGCCTGAGTCCCCTTTATGTCTCACTGCCTTCCTGGAGGCTGCCCGGAAATGAGGACTTTTGTGGAAAACTCTTAGTTTTCTGTTTAGAGCTGGGGGTGTGAACAGGTCAGCTGTTTACAGGTCAGAGAACTAATATGTCTGAGCCAAGGGAAGCACATGTGCATATTAAACACTTTGAAATAGCCTTCATCTCTACCAGGAAATATGCTATTCCTATTTTTCTTTAAACACATGGCTTTCTGGCATTTCTCACTTTCAGTGGACGTGGGTTCATGTCCACAATATCCAAAATAAAACCCACCAAACAAAAGCCATGATAGCCCGAAGCCTCAGAATCGGGATAGCAGGGACTGGAGGAGCTTTGACTAACGGAAGGACACAACCCACATCAGGGACAGCTGCTTAATGGTGCCGTGTAACTGCCGCCAGAGACACACAGGCTCGCTGTTGCCACCTTGTCCTTCCAGAAGGGGATACAAGTAAATGTTAGCTCACATTCAAATGAAACCATGGTCCCCAACCTTTTGGGCACGGATTGGTTTCACACAAGACAGCTTTTCATGGTCGGGGCAGGTGGGACAGTTTGAGATGTTCAGATGAGCCTGCCACCTAGATCTCTTGCACACGTGGTTCGAAGTAGTTTCTCGCTCTTGTGAGAATCTGACACCTCTGTGATCTGATGTGGAGCTCAGGCTGTGATGTGAGCCAGGAGCGGCTGCAGCTAATACCGACGCTCACTGCTCATCCCCGGTCTGCGAACCTGGTGCCTAACAGGCCACAGACAGGCACCCAGCCACAGCCCAAGGTTCAGGGACCCCTGATTAGAACAGGTGGGCGACACCAGGATATATCTGCAAGCTGCAAGTGTGAGAGTGATGATTAGAGGGTGCAGTAGTGCTCCAGCTGACTGAGAGGATGAATAGGCTGAGCCTTAGTGGACACCAACAGGAACCCATCGGAGGAGGAATCCTCCTCCTAAGAGTTACCGATCACCCCTTTCTGGCAGCTGGCGAGTGGGGAAGGCACGAGTTGGGATGCTCAACTTCCAAGTCTGTCCCCGTTCTAGCTCGTGATGTGATAGGAAGATCTCCCCTTGAACACGTAATGCTGCTTTTCAAGACTCCTAATGTAACTAGGGCAAGAGGCAACTCACAGGTGTGGGTTTTGGACGTGTTTTCTTGAACAATCTCGAACTGGACGTTGGTGCTGGTGGCTTCTGGGGCCCCGTTCTGAGAGGCGGTAGGAGGCAGGGGGGGTCCAGGGGGCACCTGCTCCTTCTGGACCACAGGGTCGTGACGAGTAAACCAGGTCAGGCCATGGACCTAAGGAGCAGAGAGGAGCTGTGAGTTCTGGAGGAGGCTGCGACCCTTCCCACCCCCCGCCAGCCGCTGGCTCAGCCTTCACACTGCCCCAAGCTGCTCTGTCTTCCCCTCTCACCCCACCCTGCAGCAGGCTTCAGCTCCCTCGGCTCCCCAGGACCAATGCTCAGTTCTCCACCTTTCTTAACAGCCCTCGTTCTTAAGTTGGGATCTAGCTGTCCCCCATTTTAGCCCTCTGAGCTCAGCACTGGCCCTGGGGTACGGTGAGACCCAAGGACTGACTGTGTCAACCCAGCCATTTCTCTAGCCAGAGAGATCACATCGGTTCATTAGTTCTTGGATGCGCGTCTTGAGTTGACTTCATCAATAGGAATCAGGAAGTTTGAAAAATAAAGGAATCATGAGGTTTGATAGAAATCCCGAGATAGAAATACATATGCTTTTATTTTCTAGTCCTGGGGATTAAATCCAGAGCATGTGCAGTGAGCAACATCCCCAGCTCTTTTCTTATTTTTTCTTCTGAGATAGGGTCTCACTAAGTTGCCCGGGTGGGACTTGAACTAGTTCTCCTCTTGCTTCAGCCTCCCAGAGCGCTGGGATAACAGGCATGCACCATCATGCCGGGCTTGAAATGCATGTGCTTTTAATTAATGACAATCAAAGAGGATATATCCTTAGAAGCTGAGTGGCCACACATGGGGCCCAAGAATCAGAGCAGAAGTGGAAGGTGGCTTCTGAGGACCTTTTCTGAGTCCAGCCCTGGACTTTTTGTTTTTCTAAACATTCAGCCCTCTTTGCTTAAGCCAGCTGGAGTTAGTGTTCTCGCGTTTGCCAGAGTCCCAGCTGCCAGAGCTGTCAGTTCAAACCTACCTTCTCCTTGGAGGGTGGCTCTGTGAGGCAGCTCATGGCACACACGGTGATCAGGGTGGCCCCAGACAGAACCATGGAGAAGTAGAGGTAGTGGATGTACTTCACCACCGCGGGGCGCTCATCTGGCTGGTCACACCTTGGCTGAGGGTAGATAAAGTCCAGGACCAACCTGATCACGCCTAGCAGCAGGCCCAAGATCAAGCCTGAGAAGGCACCCTGGAAATCAGAGCAAAACCACCTTAAAGACCTCAGGGCTTGGGCCTCCAGGGACTCAAGAAGTCCTCACAAGAGTGTGGCTTTCTCACAGCCATCACTGCCTGCATCTGTGACTTGGAGCGGTGGAGCTAGTCATGTGTTCCTCCTCCACAGTGCAGGCATTCCCTGGTGTCTTGGAGGGGTCTGTTCCCTCATGGATGCCGGAGTCCACCCATGCTCAAGCCTCGTACATGAAACAGTGTTGTGCTTGCATGTAACCTCCCCACATCCTCCTGTGTACTTTAAATCGTCTCTAATCACCTGTAATACCTAAGACAATGTGAGTGTGGTGTGAATACTGCTCTACTCTATCGTATGGGGAATTACAGTAAGGAAAATGGTCACACATGTTCAGTACATGTGCAATTTTTTTTTTTTTGGTACCAGAGATCAAACTCGGGTCCTTGCACTTGCGAGGCAGGCGGCAGAACCACTGAGCTAAATCCCCGGGCCACATGTGCAATTTTTACAAAATAGTTTCAATCAGCTATAAGTTGAATCTGCAGATGCCGAGCCCACAGATAGGAGGGCCAGCTGCAATGCATCATGTCATTCTCATGTCATTTACTCATTTCTTTCTATGAAACAGCCTCCCTGCTCAATAAAACGTATTGAGATTCTTGTGAGAATCCCACTGCCCTGTTCATAACCTCTCTGTATCTTCTGCCACAGGGCTGCTCTCTCCCCAACACCCCAAGTCCAGCTGCCCTCGGTCCCCCACTGCCGCTGCCCCCCATTCCGCACAGGCAGCGCTGCGCCATCATGGTGGGGGCTGCCCCATGGTCACCTTTTCATTAGCCCGGTTCCAGAAGCAGCCCAGGATGAAGACCACGGCCACAGGCGGCTGCAGGTAAGAGCTGATGGACTGGATGTAGACGAAAAGCTGGCCCCCCTGGCTGGCCTGGACCACCGGGATCCACAGGATGGAGACCAGCACCAGCAGAATCACAAACACCCTGTGGCGGCAGAGGGGGTCTGGATGAGGGCCGCCCCCCAGCATCCTCCCTCTTCCTCTCCCCACCCTCTTCACACGGCTGTCGAGGTATCCATCACAGTCCCTAAACGTCACGCCTGGTACGTATACAATCGGTAACTTCCAGTCAACCTACAGAGTTGTGTGACCACTGCCACCGTAAAAATGTATGGGCCTACAGCTTTATGGGCCGACAGGTACTAAGAGAACAAAGCTTGCCCTTCATTTTGTATCCTTTCTTACGAGTCTTGGTTCAGATCTCTCCTAAGCTCTGCAGGGGGTGTGGGTCCTTCGAGAAGCGTCTGTCTAGGAGCTGGCCGGACAGGGTTGGTCAGCCCCGAATTCAGCTGCTTTCGCCCCCTTCCAGCCTGGGGACACAAGGTTTCCCGGATAGCTACTCAGACCTCTCCAGCCCCTGTCCTGAACCTGTGCTCTCAACTCCAGGAGTGTGGAGCCCCCATGGCGGGGACCACAGATTGTCCTCTCCTGGCAGCAAAGCCATCGCCAGCCCAGAAGATCCCAGATCGGTGACACAGGCCTGAGACCGATCAGCAGACCAGCCCGCCAGCCAGTCCTACAGGCTGCCTGCTGCCTTTGGAAGCGGGCCAGTCTGAAAGTGTGCCCCTCCAGCTGCCTAAGATTTTCTTCCTCAACTTTGCAGTTAAAGCTTTGGTTTTTTGGTGAAAAATTTAGAACATGCATCCCTCCAAAAAGTTCCCTCAAACTCATTTGTACTTTATTGCTTCTCGCACCCTAAGCAACTGCTTAGCTGCTTTCTGTTGTTTTGTTCTTCCTTGGCATTTCCTATAAATGGTGTCTTGTGACAGGTGGTCTTTTGTAGCTTTCTTCTCTGTTTTTGAGGTTCACCAATGTCACATGTCGGTATTTCATTCCTTTTTATGGGTGAGAAGCACACCATTGTCATGGATATGCCATCGCGTGCCTCTGTCCATCCCTCATCAGTTGATGGACATTTGGATTTAACTCTTGTGTGGCTAAAATGAATGGCTCCTCTCTGGACGTGTGTATATAAATCTCTGTGTGGACTATGTATTTTCATTTTTAGGAGTGCTAACTCCTGAGTTACAGGGTGAATTTATGTTTAACATTTTAAGAAACTGCCAAACTGTTTTTGAATCATTGGATCGTTTTATGTTTCCACCCATAATGTGTAAGAGTCCTAGTTTCACCACCTTGTCTTTTTTATTATAGCCATTTTAGTGGCTGTGTGGTCACATCTCATTGTAGTTTTAATTTGCATTTCTGACATGATGAATGATGAACATTTTTTCATGGGCTTATTAGCTATTTATTTATATATCTTCCTTGGTGAAATGCCTATTCAAATCTTTTGGTTGTTGGTCTTACTATGGGTTTTTTTGTTTGGTTTTTTGGTACGGGGATCGAACTGGGGTCCTTGCGCTTGCGCAGCAGGCAGCGAAACCACTGAGATAAATCCCCGGCCCCGGTCTTACTATGTTTTATGACTTCCTCATATAATCTAGATTACAAGTGCTATATCATAATGTTTTCTCCCTATCTGTGACTTGTCTTAATTTTCTTAATGGTGTCTTTCAAAGTGGAAATGTTTTAAATTTTGATGAAGTCCAATGTAACACTTTTTCTTTTATGGATTATGCTTTGCGTGTTGTATCTGAGAACTCTCCCTAACCCATGGCTGAGACAAGCCTCAGGGTGCATCTTCTGGGCTGACAGAGCCCCAGGATGCTTAACTGTGGGCATTTTACATAAGGTACCAGGGGTTGAAGCCAGGGCCTTTGTACTGAGTTACATCCCCAGCCTTTCTTATTTTTTAATTTTGAGATAAGGTCTTGCTAAGTCACTAAGTTGCCCAGGCTGGACTCAAACTTGCAGTTCTCCTACTTAGCCTCCCAGGTCTGTGCCACCGCGCCTGGCTTCCATGCTACCAACTGCAACTCCTCTCAGTAGATTACAGGGCTTTGCAGAAGCCCTGGATAGAAACCTTTCACCTGGGGTGCCGGGGATTTAGCTCAGTGGTTCCGCCGCCTGCCTCACAAATGCAAGGTCCCGAGTTCGATTCCTGGTACCAAAAAAGAAAAAGAAACCTTTCACCTGCAAAACATTCTTTTCTCTGAACCTGGCTCTCAGCCCTCAGGTCCGAAGCCAAGTTGGGTCACTTCCTGTGAATCTCTAGGTCTCCATACTCCCTAAGGAACAGACACTAGGCTACGCTTGTCAGTTGAATTCTCCTCCTCCCCTCACTCCATGATGGCAGAAACTGCATCTTTTCTCAGTTCTGTGCTGATACTCGGTACCTAGTACGTCGGTGCTCACTGAAGAGCTTTGGAATGAATGCAGCTCCGTGGAGTCCTAATGTCCTCCTCTTTGCCACCAGAGGAGGCTGAGCCGACCCAGATGAGGTGCTGGTTGGACTTTGCCTATGGTGTGAGAGGACTCATTCTCTCCTCCCTGAGTACGTGGGTGTTTCGCTCACCCGCCTGCCCCCACCCGGAAGGCCTTACCTGCCCACCACCATGAGCTCCCTCTCAGATGCCCGAGGCCGGATGTGATTCCAGAGGTCCATGGTGAAGATGGTGCTGGCACTGTTAAAGATGGAGGTGAGGGAGGACATGAGAGCCGCCACCATCACAGCCATCATGAGCCCACGGAGTCCTAGAGACAGAAGGGAGGTCTGTGGGCCTCGGGCTTTCTGCAGCAGCTTCTGCATTCACTCGTGACCCTACTGCCCTGGGCCCAAAGCTGGTGGTCCCACAGGCTGGGCTCTGAGGAGGCGGGCCCTCCACAAGGAAGGCTGGAGAGCTAGGGTGGGCACAGCTGTGGCTGGGGAGGACCTGGATGGGCTCAGGTTCTGAGGCCAGAGTCTGCTCCCACCCGTGGGCCTCGCACCGTGTCCCCACCTCAGACCAGAGCCGGGCCAGTGTGGTCCCTGCTGGGTGCTCTGGGAACTGAGGTGGGCGAGGGGCATTACCTGTGGGCAGGAGCTCTAGCACGAGCTTGGGATACGCGATGTCGGAGCAGCCCGAGGGGTTGCCGCAGACCTTCTGGCAGATTTCTGGGTGCGCGCAGGCCACTTGATCTGCGGAGGAGACACAGGCGCCGAGCTGAGCAGATGGCCTCAGAGCCCAGGCCTGACGGCGGCATGGCCTGGCACAGGGTTAATGTCCACGCGGCTGTGGCTCGGGGAAATCGAAAAGAGCCCAGCCCTCATAAACTGTGACCCTGTTGCTCGCCCTTTCTGCCCTGGAGCTGCCCTCTCTGTAACGGTGGGCTGATGACAGAAGACTGGCCTGATAACTGGCCGAGAGGCTGCATGGAAAGCACTCCGCACGCACCGCATGCCCAGGATGTGCCGAGAACACAGCAGCTGTTGGTCCTGTAACCCAGATGAAGCTGGAACTCGCAGTGGCCTCTCACCAGTGTCCTACGCCAGCCCCCAAAGGGGGACAAAAGCGATTTATACCTGGACCAAAGCTCCTCACTGCCTGACACATGGCAGGCACTTCTGTTTCAGTACCGAGGATCAAAAGCAGGGCCTCCACCACCCTCAGCTTTTTGTCTTTAACGTTTGAGACAGTGTCTCACGGAGTTATTAATTTGCCCAGGCTGGGCTTGAATTTGTGCTCACCAAATACTTTTCCCCTGCAGTATTGGGGACTGAAGCCAGACTCTTCCCTCTGGGCAGTGTCCCAGTTCCCCACTCTTGTCTGTTTGTTTGTTTGTTTGTTTGTTTTGAGACAGGGTCTTGCTATGTAATTCAAGCTGGCCCTAAACTCTTAGGCCAGCCTGGCCCCAAACCCACAGAAATCCTCCTGCCTCAGCCTCCTAGAGTCCAAATACTTTTAAAATTCTTTTTCCTATCTTCTCAATAGCTCACAGAATTCAATAGCCGCTCCTCATTTTAGACTCAAAGACTCCACCCTACTAGCTCTAAATTTCTGTCTCCTCTCTCTGCTCGTCTGTATCAACTATTTGCTCTCCTGAGTGACTCTGACTCTCCAGTGTAAATCCACCTAGTCTCCCTGGTGCCTCTGGTGTTTCTTCCTCCCTGTCTGTTACCATGATCCACACTTCTGCTAGGTTTGGATACGGTTTGAGTTTGTCCCTAAGGTCCATGTGTCAGGACCTGGGTCCTCAGTGTGGGTGAAAAGTACATGGCCCCCAGACTCTCTTTCTGTTTTAGACAAAATTAAGAAGGCAGACTGAAAATATTTGGTGAGAAGTATTGGGAAGAAATAATCTTATTGAGAATAATACCTTTGAGAAAGTCAAAGTTCTTGGCTTTTTCTTATTCTTCTGGGGAAACTCAGATTTAAAATATTTACATTCCCAGCCGGGGATTTAGCTCAGTGGTTCAGCCACCTGCCTTGCAAGTGCAAGGACCCGAGTTCGATCCCCAGTATCAAAAAAATTAAACATGAAAATATTTACATTCCCATCAGCAGAACCCTGAAGGGGCCTCCCAGCCAGGCTGAAGGTCTCCTGTGAATTCAGACCTCGAGCTCTGCCTCTTGTTCTCATCTGTGAGCTCCCCTCGTCTGGGTGCACCGAGAAGGGCAAGGATCTCCCTGAGGTACTTAATTGTTAACTACAGAGTTCTTATTTTCCCTACTAGGAATGCAAGCTTCAACCGTGGGACACATGCCAGGTGCAAAACCTATGAAGCACACTTGTTGCAGAAACCACTGGATCATTTGTCTAAGAGTGTGTTCGTTATAGGGAAATTGGTGTGGCTAAGTCATAAATGACAGCAGCAGTTTTGTGATCAGAGACAGCTAACCAGCCATGCACTATCCACAGTGAGTTCTCTTGGAAAACCTCAGACCCCCTGATGCTTGAAATAAAGGATGAGTCAAATCCAGACACAACACAACACAAAACCTATGTAAAACTCATACACAACACAAAACCTTCTTTCTACAGTTTGGGCATTCACTGAAGGTTTACCATGACTCAGACGCTGCATAAACACTGTATAGACACCCCGTTTAATTTTCACAACTCTGTGGGGAAGATACTGTTATTGTCCCTATTTATTTGTTTGTTCATTCGTTTATTTTTGAGACAGGGTCTTGCTTTATAATCCAGGCTGGCATTGAACTTACTAAGTAGCCCAGGCTGGCCTCAAACTTGGGCAATCTGCCTGCCTCAGCCTCCCAAGTGCTGCAATTACAGGCATCTGCCACCACACCCTGCCATCCCTATTTTAAAGACAAGGAAACTGAGGCCCAGAGGAGCCAGTTTTCCCAGCTCATACAGATGGTATATATGACAGCTAGGACTCAAGCCCTGACTGTACTCCAAAACTGAAGGGGAGAAGATTGGCTTTGTAAATAGGTCCACTTCTAAATTCTCTCTCTGTGTATGTATGTGTTTAGGGTTATCTTGTTTCTTTTTAAACTCCTATAGAAACTTTTTTTAAAGTGCCGTTTTTATCTGGACTCAGTGGAAGTGGGTTTTTTCCAGGCTCATTGGAGTTTAGCCTCAGAGTGTGCTTTTAGGTAGTTCTGCACCCACTGAAGATTTAGGAGGGACTTGGAGAGTCAAGGCAGACAGCAGAAACAGGAAGATGATAGAATGGTTCAACCACAGAGCCTCTCATGTGAAGCCAGGGGTTCTCAATCTTAGGGTTGTCTTGTTAAAAATAAATAACTGGGCCCCACCTGCAGCCAGTCTGGTTCCGTAGCTCCAGGACAGGCCTGAAAGTCTGCATTTCTAACAAGCTCCAAGAAACACTCCCAGCCTGGGGGTGGCACTTGAAGAAGCATTGGTCTAAGCCTCCAAACAAGGGAGAGAGACCTCAAACACACAGTGCCTGCTTCTCGCTCCCTACCTTGCCTCACTAAAAGCCCTCTGCACTTATTCCTGGAACTGAGTAACAGTGTCTTACTGTGTGGTGTATCTGACTTCTTTTATGAGCCACACTGTAAAGTCCTTTGCTTCACAGAACAGAGTTGTGCTCCTTTACCAAGGATTGTTGGTTGGCTGACTTTTAAGAGCTGGGCAGGCTATCATTGCTGATCTTCCCGATCTCAATCCAAGGCTTTGGATGTGATCTGCTGTCCTGGAGGCAGTTTCTGGAGGCAGCCACACTTGGGTTCAAATCCCAGCTTACCCAGCGTGAGTCAAATCCCCCTCCTCAGAGAAGATCTCCCTGCAAATCCTGTCAAAAGTAGCCCCATCTCACATACTCGTGATCTCTCCCTTCTCACAGCTCTTAGTACAACTAATAATTTTCTCATTTATTTACGCATTTCTGTTTCCTCCAACTCCAGAGTGTAAATCCCACTGTATTGGGGAGTCTGCGTCCTTTTCACCTGTGGATCCTCAGGGTGTATTAGAACAAGACCTGACAGATAATCTCTCAAAACATTTGTTGGATACATGGAAGAATAAATAAATGATGAGTGAGTGAATTACTTTCTTGAGCTTCAGTTTCTTCATCATTAAGAGAGAGGTAATGATTATTTGCCTCCGGAAGTCATTCTGAGGGTGAGGTGAGGTAATACAGGTGTCCCTTGGGGTCCATGGACCCCCGCGGGGGTCAGAATCTGAAGAGCTTCGTCCCTTCTGAAACCCGCCATAGCATTTGTGTGTAACCCATGCTCACACTTCTGTGTGCTTTAAATAATATCTAAATTACTTACAATGCCAATGCAGTGGAAATGCTTTGTAAATAGTTGTTAAACTGTGTGGTTAGGGAATAATGATAAGGAAAAAGTCTGTATGTTCAGGGCAGATGCAGTTTTTCCACATATTTCAGTCTGCACTTGGTTGACTCTGGATGTGGAAACTAAGTGTACAGAGAACCAGCAGAATAATCATTGCGAACACTTGCTTGCATATGTGTTAGTCTGCCTTGTGTTACCATAAAGCTACTCTACTCAGGCTGCTTATGAAGTAGAGAGATTTATGTTGGCCTCTTGGTTCCGGAGGGGCAAGTCAATGGCCCCATTAGTCTGGGGCTCTGGTGAAGGCAGCAGAGCAGAGCGTGGGTAGGAGCAAGTGCTAGACCCTGAGCCAAGAAGCAGAGAGAGAAGGAGAGGGACGCTGTGGTGGGGAGGTCGGAGCCCTGCAGTCTGTTCCCAGGACCTTCCCCTACGGGCCTAGGACCTTCCACTAGGACGCACACCCTGAGGGTGGCCGTGTCCCCAGTGCTGCCACCCCGGGGCCCACACCCTACCCGCGGACCTTCGGGGACACTCATCCAAGCTACCGCAGGTGCTTGCTGTGTGTCAGGAGCTGCTGGTCGCCTGATGAAATAGTTTTAAATCTTATTTTACAAATGAAGAAATGAAGACAAGGAGAGATCGCTAGATATACACAACCCTTGAACAGCAGAGCCAAGGCCTGGGCCCAGTCCCAGAATTCAGTACGACGGGCAGTGCCCTGACTTCCCTTCTCTAACTCTTACCTCCTAATTCATTTTTTGTTCGTTTGTTTGTTTTGTTTTTTGTTTTTTGAGACAGGGTCTCTCTATGTAGTTCAGGCTGGACTTGAACCCACTTTGTACCCCAGGCTGGCCTCAAACTCCCAGTGATCCTCCTCCCTCAGCCTCCCCAGTGCTGGGATTACAGGCCTGCAACCACCAGGCCCAGCTTACCACCTAATTCTTAAGGGTTCCACATTATTTTGACTAAAGTAGGTTAACTAACAGCCTTTTACACTACCCTTTATTAAATTCTTTTTTTTTTGGTACCGGAGATCAAACTCGGGACCTTGAGCTTGCGAGGCAGGCAGCAGCACCACTGAGCTAAATCCCCGGCCCCCCTTTTATTAACTTCTGTGTAGCATTGTGTAGGGTGAGGCACAGGGGAGCAAACTCTGCTTTTCATTCCCCTGTGAGGGATGTGGAGCCCTGGTGGCCAGAGGATGAGAGCTCTGTGAAGGGAGGAGGGAGCATCTCCTGTACAGACCCCTGACTCCACAGTGACTTCTGGTAACATTGCCCCACTACTGGGTATTGCTATCCCCGTGGTACAAACATCCCTTTACCACGTTAAAACCCCAATCTAAAGCATATTTTCTAGAGGCTTTGAATCCCCTGATATTTGTTAAGAAAAGCACCCAAAGGGCCGGGGATTTAGCTCAGTGGTTCCGCTGCCTGCCTCGAAAGTGCAAGGTCCCGAGTTCGATCCCCGTACCAAAAAACCAGAAAAGTACCCCAAAAGGGTCCTATTGGACCAAAGTTACCAAACCACTGAACTCAAACACCAAAGGCATGAGGTTTCAAGGCACTGACACTGGGACCACACAGCTTCAGTCTGTTCTGTGGGGCGGAAGTGTACAGCTGAGGAAGGCCCGTGAATCCCCGTCGGGACACCGACCGCACCTGCTCCCTGACCGACACTGCGTCTGCACAGGGACAACTCCGACCTGGAGGACGCGCCTCGGCGCCCTCCATGTGCAGCAGTCATCCGTTAGACACTCCCCGCCTGGCCTTGCAGACCGAGGCCTCCTCCAGCGGGCTTCTCACCTGGAAAGAGGACGCGGCTGGCCATGCCCGGGAGCACTATGATGAAGAGGGGGAGGACCTTCAGGTACGCGGCCACCAGCGAGCCTCCCTTGGCGTGAGACAGGTTCTTAGCAGCCAGGCTGCGCTGCACAATCACCTGGAACACAGGGTTGGGAGCTGCTCAGAGGTCTCCCGGAAGGAGGCTGCGCTGCAGCGTCCTGGGCCTGCGGACGAGCGGAGGTGTCTGCCCGCTTTGCTCTTTTCGCTCGCCGTCCCTGCCATCTAGGGAGGGTGGCCCGGCTCCGGCTCTGTCCCCTCCCTACACCTTTGTCCGGGGTAAGACCCGGCCGCTCACAGCTCACAGAATGAGGCCATCGTCCATCGCCAGGTAAGGAAAAGTTTGCCGTGAGCCTGAGTCAGGCCCTTCTTGGAAACCCTTCCCGATAAAGGCAAAGGAAGAGGTGCCCTGCCCTGTGGCCTGCTGGAGAACTGTGAGCCACGGGGTTCACGGAAGCTGCCGCCTGTATCTGCCCTCGTACTAGGAGACGCTTTGAGACTGAGGTCATCTCAGAGGAGAGGCAACCAGGCAGTGGAGGAAGGGAAGTGATTTCCAGGGAGCCCTCCGTCGGCGCCGCCAAGTCTGGCTTACAGTGTGACGTGTGGAGATGGAGACAGAGCCTGGGGTTCGAGTCCTGCCTCCCCGCTGCCGGACTGTGACTCCGAGCAGGCAGCTGTGCCCCTCTGCCTTATTTCATCTGTGAAGAAGGTAAAATCAAGGCAGCTTTGACGACTAAAGGAGGTGAAACATTTAGAATACTTAGCTGGTGTCTGACGTGCGGTAACTGCCCATGAATACTAGTTACCGGTCTCCACCTCTAGCTCTCAGGTGTGTAAGTTTGCAAAATCGCCTTTTATGTTTAAGCTATTATTTTTCCTACAAAAAATGAGAGTTCGCACAAGTCCTCAAATAACCCTTAATGGGAAGTGTGTCCAGAGGTAGGATTAGTCTCACACCCCACACCACCATGCCTGTGACAGGTTATGAAATCCCACAGTTCAAATGTACACGGCCTCCCTGGTGTCCTGGGAGAGATGTCACCTCGGGGAAGGAGGGCCTAGGGACGCATGGGGCTGAACCCCGGCAGAGGCACCAGGACGATCGAAGATGATGCAGAATAGGTGACTTTCCTAATGATCCACCTGCAGTCCCAGCAGCACAAACCAAGCCAGATGGATACATGTCAAGGACAGGTACCCAGGGCCCCTGGACCCCACCTATTTGACCCATCTGAACTCAGGAAACCCTGGTCACAGCTGGCCACCTCACTGAGCCATCCTGTAACTGTCAAAAGCTAGAAGGGAGTGGTTGTTGACAAGTAACATCTCAGTTAAAAAAACAAAAAGGGTGAACTAAGAGGACTAAAATTGTAGTCCAAATATGTGGAAGGAGGGGGCTTTAAGGAGCTATGTCTTTTTTTTCAGTGTTTTGTTTTTTTTTTTAATTTTGCTTTTCTGAGATAGGGTCTCACTAGGTAGCCTAGGCTGGACTAAAACTTGGAATCCTCCTGCCTCAGCCTTCTAGGTGCTGGGATTACAGGTCTGTGCCTCAGGAGCTACATCTTCATCTATCATGGCCTCTGTCATCCATCCACCTTGTCTTCATGTGTGCTTCTCACAGTGGTTATGTGCAGACTTTCCTATGGTAGAGATGGGCAGAAATGCGACCAGGGGAGGCTGTCGGAGTCAGGAGCACCTGCTCTGAGTCTGCGTGAGTGCGTGCGGCGGTTGATGTGCAGACCCACGGGGGTGTGAGTCCTGCTTCCAGTGAGCTTCAGCAGTTCCTTAACCTCCCCAGGACTCCGTGTCTCATCCGTAATGGGGAAACAATGGAGCTGGGTTTTTGAGGAGTCCTGCCGTTCTTAAGGAGAGTAGCAGTGATTGTCCTTATTGTCACTGCTGTCAGGGGAAGAAATTAGAGAAAGAAGTCCAGAGAGGTCAACAAAATCGAAGGGAGCAGGGACCTGACGCTGGAAGCCACATCGGGGCTGCAAGTGAGCTCTTCAGAAGCACAAAACACTGCACACTGGGCCCAACCAGAACAAAGGAAGGTTGTGGAGGGCGGCTGGGCAGGTGTAACTGTCCATGGCCAGCTTTCAGGAATGGCTTTTTCCTGGTGGCAGAAGGAGCCAGTGTCTGAGGAGCACCGGGGATGAGAGAGCGAGGAGGAGGAGGAGGAGGAGGAGAGGTGCAAACGCTGCAGCTTTGCTGGGCGCGATGAGTGGAGAGAAAGGACAGAGAGGGTCTCAGCTATTGCTGCCACCAGGATCAGGGACACAGAGCTCACCGGCGCCTGGAGCTGGCCCTGACACCTCCTCAAGACCTTCCTGTGAGTAGGGCGAGCTCAGGTCTTGCCACGGTTCATCTGCTCACGGGGTCGACAGTCCAGAGTGTTTGCTGAGCTGGGGCCTGGCCCCCACAAGACCCGCCCACTGTGGGCTTCAGGATGAGCCACCTGGAGCTCACATTGTTACTGCTTTCCTGGGCTGTGAGTCTGCTGGGCCTGGAGGGTTACACAGGCCTTGGTGACTTACTGTCCCTTTCTGAGCTCGTTCAGTGAGCTGTGGATACAGAGGAAAATGTCACATTGCAACCATTGTGATGTTGTGCCAAGAGGGCAAACTGGATTCTTCCTATTTTTATGTTCGTATTTTTTACAGTGGACATCAATGGGGTTGCCTTCATGAGTGTCTTGCCTCTTCCATTGAAACCTTTGCCCACGTGGCTGCCTATCGGCAGGGCACAGTGGCGTGAGCTATAGGAAGGCAGCTGACCAAGTTGATCACGTCAGGGAAATTCCCCAGGACCTTTAGATTTGGGGCTCACAGAGTTGTCAACCCTTTTCCTGGTTGTTCTGCAGTGAGGGGTAACAGCAGGTTAGGAAGCAGGCTGGTGGCAAGGGAAACCAGACTAAGGCCCCAGACTTCCTGAAGGCCCGTTCAACTTCCTGTAGTTTGTACTCCACAAGTCCCCGCCCTTCCCCTAAGATAGGTGACTTTTTTGTCAGCCAAATATACTCTGATACTTAGAAATGAAATTACGTTTATGTGGATGTTGTGAGCGGAGGACTCTGACACGTGGGATTACCTTATTTGAGCAAAAGTGGGGAGCGTATGGATTCCTTTCTTCAAGGCGGGGCAGTTCTCTATCCTTTTGCAGTTGGCTTAACTATTACCTGCCATTCTCAGGACTGCAAACACGCACATATTGAGGCCAGAACACTTAAGAATATGGTAGTAAAATGTAAAGCTATCAGGCGATAACATTCTTTTTAAAAAAGAATTTAAAGAATCAATTTATGTTTTATTTGGCAGGTGGGCATGAGGGCACATGTCTATTATCTCTGCTATTCCAGAGGCTGAGGCAGGAAGATTGCTTGAGCCCAAGAGTTTGAGAAGAGCCTGGGTAACCAAGAACTATCTCTTTTTAAGAAAAATATACATATTTATCATGTACAACATGTCCATGTATACACATTGTGGAATGGATAAACAGAGATAATTCATGAATGGATTATCATGCTTTTTTTTTTTTTTACTTTTTTTGGTAGTGAGAACCCTAAAAATTCACTCTTTAACAATTTTCTGTACGCTGCTGTTAACTCCAGCCCCCATGTTGTACAGCAGATCCCTTGAGCTTGCTCCAGCTGTCTAATGGAAATGTATTCTAAACACATCTCTCCAGTCTCCCAATCTCCAGTCCCTTGTATTAGATTTCTGAGTTCAATTTCTTTAGATTCCACATATGAGTGAGATCCTGTGGGATTTTTGGTCTTTTTGTGCCTGACTTATTGCACTTTACATTATGTCCTCCAGGGTCACCCTATTGTCCCAAATGACAGGGTTCTGTTCTTTTTCCTGGCTGAGTAATTTTCCATTGTGTAGATATACCACATTCTCTTCGTCCGTTCAGCTGCCAGTGGACAGTTTGTGATTGTGGATAGTGCTTCAAAGAGCATGTACATGCAGATGTCTTTGTCACACTGACTTAAAGGCCCTTAGACACGTACCCCGTAGTGGGATCATTGTTTCGTTGAGGTGTCAAAAGAAGGAGACAGGAAAGAGCTTACAGCTTCGTGAAACAAAGTTGTTTTTACTGGAGATCTGAAGCTGTGACTGAAAAGAACTCTGGCTTCTATTATCATGAAGCGATGTCTCCAATATGCCTATAAGAGGTAGCTGAATAATTTTCAGGCTAAGTTGCACTGCTTGAAAACCCACAAGCCCAGGGAGTAGGGTGTCACCCTGTACAACAGCCCCTGGCTCGGGGTGGAACACAGCTCACAAGAGTGCTAGCAGAAGGAACTAAGATGAAAAGCTCAGATTAGAGCCTGGGGAATCATCTGGCATCGTAAGTGTTCAAGTGGCATTACTCTTATGAGTCACTGTTTTCCTTTTGCTTCTCTGCCTGGGACAATGTGAAACATCTTCTTTTCACTTTTTTTTTTTTTTTGGTACCAGGGATCGAACTTGGGACCTTGCGCTTGCAAGGCAGGCGCTGGAACCACTGAGCTAACTCCCCAGCCCTGAAACATCTTCTTGATTCATGGACAACAAATGTTGGTTTGGTTTTCTTGCATCCTATGTGAGCCTCGAGGAAGGACTACCCGTGATTCGAGTTTCCTGGGCGTGCTTTGGACTCTGGAATCTGGCTCAGCAGAAACCCCTTATGGCTGACCAAAGTCAAAGAGCTGGAGGGGGTTGGCTGCAGGGCCCTTTTGCATGTGGAAGATCAAATCCTCTTGGACTAAGTCCTCAGGCTCTTGTTCAACACAGGCTGGGCTGCAGGTGGCCTCTGAGGAGTGAGTGCATCCTGCAATGAGGGTGTGCAGAGCCTCAAGTAGCTATTGCTAATATAAGCTGGGGAGTGGTGTCGAGAACAGTGACATGAGCCAGAGTAAGGACGAAAGTGTCTGTAGTGGTTTGTCTATTAAAGGTTTCTGCATCACAAAGATCTGACCAAATTCCTCCTGCATCCCTCCTCTGTAACTGTCAGTGATCCAAGTAACGATGAGAGAGTGGAGGATCAGAGAGGTCAAACAGTGTCCTCGAGTTCTCACGCTTGGGCTCAATTCCAGGCCTGTTATGTTTAACGCCCGTGGAGGCAGCCTGGGTCTGCAGTCTCTCCTCATCTCTCCGACCTGAGATTCGCTAAGGGTGAGAAGTAAGTCTGTCTCCGAAAGGCCCACCAGTTACAGCCTTGCGCCCTGGCCCTGGAGTGGGACCTCCGTGTCACTGTCTGTGATGCCTCCTGCATGGTTCAGCTGTGCGACCCTATGACGCCTGCTCTACCCGAGCTCCCCTCAGCCCGGACCGTGTGGTGCAGCTCCCTAAACAGTGCACAGGACTCTGGTCTTTGACGGAGCGGAGGGAACACTGGGCAGGTGACAGTGACACAGAGCCTGGGGGTGACAGGGTGGTGCAGAGAGCGGTTCTCTCCATCCCCCCACCCCCACCCCGCGCGGCTCTCTCGGCCTCCTGCACACGCACCGCTCAGTGCCGCTCGCAACCCCGCCTCTTCCGCTGCACTGCTTTTAACCTTTCTCGTTTCTCTCTTCATAACAGTTTCTGTTTGCCTCAGGCCTTCTCTCTGGCTGTTCCCCATGCCACAGACTTACCTTCTTCCTCCAACAATCACAGGGAGCTCTCGCCCTCCTCCCTCCAAGGTAGGCAGTGTAGGATTCCCAAGAAAATAAAAAATAAAACGAGAACTAACATACAGTTCTCCCATGGGGCGAAGCTCCACAGGATATGAACTAAGAATGTTGAAAAGACACTTGCACCGCCATGTGCACTGCAGCGCAATCCATAACCACCACGACATGGACTCAACCCGTGTCCTTCATCTGATGAGTGGGTGAAGAATATGCGTATGTGCACAGTGGAATATTACTCGGCAATAAAAAGGGTGAAATCTTGTCACGTGCAGCAAGATAGAGAGACCAGGAGAAGACAGCGTTAGGTGAAATAAACCAGGCACAGGAAGAAAAGTACCATGCGGTGTCCCTCATACTCGGAATCTTAAAAGGCTGAGCTCTTGGAAGTGGAGTATAATAGTGTAAGGGAGAGGGGGGATTGGCAGGGGGAGCCTGGCCAGTGCAGCAAAGCCACAGCGGGACAGAGGAAACAAAGTCCACTGTTAATCAGAAGGTGCTGTGGCCCAGAGAGGTAGATACTAACAATATTGTATCATATGGATACAAACCACTAGAGGAGGGGACTTTGAATGTTCTCATAACAAAGAAATGATGAACGTTTGCCGATAGATGAGCTAAATCCCTGAGATGATCATTACACAATGTACAAGTGTCTAATCCATCACACCGCACCCATAAAGACGTGCGGTTATCTGTCAATTAAAACATATACCTTTACATTTTTAAAACCCCGATAAAGCCTCCAAAAACCTCTGCTCAAAACTCCCAATCAGGCCTCTCCTTGTCACCTGTTTTCATTGTGCTTCCAAACTCTTCACCCACTCTCCTCACTCTACCTTTTAAAAACTGACGTCTTTCCACATCTCGCATGATAAACGTAATTGTTGTCCCCTTCAACTCCTAGAAGCAGGACACCTCTGTGCAAGCGGAGGTTTTGCCTGATTTGTCTGCTCCATGTTTCTAAGAGCCCAGAGGCTGCCTGGTGCCTGCAGGAGCCATATTCAGCCGCCTGCTGCATATCTGGAGCAGGAATGATGCCTCCAGCGGAATCTCAGCCTCCACATGAGTTGTTCCATCTCCTTTCCTTATCAGCCCTTCCCAGACATCAAACAGATGTATTACAAAGGTCAGCAGCTTGGATTTGCCCTTTGCATTAGCAAGAGCAGGAAGCACGGTGGCATGTAGGACGAGGAGACAGGAAGTAGTCAGGGAGGTGGGAAAACCAGATGAGGACAGGAGGGTTAGAGGACCCACGCCAGCCGCCCCAGCCCGAGGCTTCCGGATGTGCTCACTGGGCTGTGCGCCGTACCTGGTCTGTGCACCAGTACCAGAGAGACGGGATGGACATTCCAAACAGGATCCCCGGCCACGGGAGATCCGACGTCACTGGATCGCGGAAGATGTGGAAGGCATCCTCCCGGGGCAGCCCACAGCTGCCGTTTGCACTCCGGTTGCTAGCCAGGGCGGAGAAGTACTTTCCCTTCAGGCCTTCCATGCCCCCAACTGCAGCAAAACCTAGAAGCACAGGAAGCCTGAGTTCCAGGAACTCAGAGGGGTCTGCACATATGACAAGAGGGCAGATGGCTCCTTGCGGGCTGTTAACCCCTTTTCTTTTATTGTCTTGGGTAGTTACCATGGATTTTGTCTTAGGATAATGTTTCTAAATGCATAAGACAAAATACAGAGAATTATCTGGGCATGGGCGCACACCTGTAATCCCAGCACTCCAGGAGGCTGAGGCAGGAGGACTGCAAGTTCAAGCCCAAATAGATTGAAGGCAATCACCAAAATATAAACAAGTGATGATAATTTATTTGGCTCACAGAATAGTGAGATGTCGAAGAAGGTCTAATTAGTGATTTAGTTAAGTAGCCTTGAGGACAAAAAATATTTGAATACATCAGCAACAACTTTAATGTAATATAAAAACACTTGGAGTAACTTGGCATCAGAGTCACAGGTATTATTCCTATTGCTGTGGTGTATAGCTTACATATGTAATGGGAAGATGGTTATTTTAAATTATAGATTTATGAAAATGGAAGTGTGGTGTATTTTTCCATCCAAATTCATAGGTGCCCTGAATTTGGTCCACAGACCCCAGGCTCAGAAACCTCACCTAAGGACGCATTCCTTCACCTCTGAGCTCCTTCCCGGTCTCCGTTCATAGTGCCGGAGTAGACCTGCACTAACCACTGCCCCCTGAGACCCCATCTCCTGCTCTGTGATAGGGAGAACATCACCCCAGCCTCCTGGGCCCAGCGCAAGGATCGAGTGAGATGAAACACACGAAATGCCCTGGCACGAAAGGATGCTATTCTAAAAATTATCTTTTGGTAGTGGTGGGGTGGGAATTATCCTTTTGTCAATAACCAGACCCACCCATTAAAACAAAAGAAAAAAGCAAGTGAACTGTTTCATATGAAAGACATTGGAATGGTGAACATTTCAACTGCTGGAGTCAGATTCATGTTTTCAGTAGCCTGTGTATAACGCTTGAAAGGTGCCAACAAATATTATTATGGGGGGGAGCAAGTGAACTTCATCCAGCATATAGATCAGAGTAGAACTGTCCCATGAAATGTAATGTGTGTATGAATCGCCTGGGAGCTATCAAGTCGAATTCTGATAGCCGGTCTGGTGGGGGCTGGTATGCTGCTCTGCTCACGACTGGCTGGGTGACAGGGAAGTCACTGAGTAGCAGGTGAAAGGGACCTCGGGTACCAAATGAGTTCAAGTCCTCAGCACAAAGAGACCACATGGCTTTGAATATTAATCTTTTTTTTTTCCGGTACGAGGTTGGGGGTGGGGTCGAACTCAGGACCTTGCGTTTGCCAGGCAGGCAGTGGCGCCACAAAGCTAAATCCCCGGCCCTTGAATATTAATCTTGAGTTATTAAACTCCTTTTTGGTCAGGTTTTCAATTCTTGTATTTTTTCTAGGTAACTGGTCATGAAATATCGGCAAATAATAATTGTACCTCTTTCTTTTCGATGTACTGTAGATCTCAGGTTTTATTTTATTTTGCATTAAATAATAAGAGACCATCCTTTTTTAATTCTACTGGGATTACTTCTAATGTTAAACAAATATTCTAATTTCTTCTTTAGAAATTGAACTCTTAAGATTTCCTTTCATAAAAATTTTTAAAATAAAGATTTCCTACTTTTTCTTGAGTGAAATTAAATAATTTGTACTTTCTAGGAAAAGCATGAATTTCAAGTGTATTTTCATATTTATTAGCATAAAACTCTGCATTCATAGTCTTATAATTTTTTTTTCAGTACCAGGGATTGAACTCAGGACCTTGTTGCTTGTGAGGCAGGCACAGTGCCACTGAGCTAAATCCTAACCCTAGTCTTACAATTTTTGCCCATTCCTTTCCTCATTCCTAATTACGGTGCATTGTTTTTCTTTTTTGTTTTTTTTGTTTTGTTTTGTTTTGTTTTTTGGCACCAGGGATCAAACTCAGGACCTTGCGTTTTTGAGACAGGCGGCAGAACCACTGAGCTAAATCCCTGGCCCTATTTTTCTTCCCTTTCCTTAATTTGATTTGCCACTATATTTTACCTTTTTTTTTTTTTCGAAGACATGGATATTACAGTAACCAATTTTGTAGTTTTCCCAATTCTAATTCATTAATTTGGGCTTTTGTATGATGGATATAAATATTTTTACAGGAGGACAACTTTGGACTTTATTAATTATGAAATATAATGTTCTCATCTTTTTCTAAATAATCCATAACCACAAGGGTTTTGTTTGCTTTTGAGACGGTCTCGCTGTGCTGCCCAGGCTGGAACTTCTCAGCCCGAGTGATCCTCCGGCCTCAGCGTTGGCTAATGGCTGAGTTCAGGCACAGGCCACCACTCCCGCTTTGCAGTGTCATTTCCTCTTTGACCCCGGCATATTTAGGAGATGGCTTTAAGTTTCTAAGTAACCAGATGAAAAACAAATTTACACTTTTCCTAATGAGTTAGACTTTTTTGTTGTTTTATATGGATAAGGTAATTTGAACAATATGTGCCTAGGTCTTTTTGCAAAATTTTATTAAATTTTCAATGACTGATTTTTATAGATAGTTCTATACATATTGAGGAAAAGGTACATTCACTATAATTAGAATGCTTGTTCATTTATGGAATTTACAACTTCTAAATTCTTATTTATGTTTTGTTCTGCCATGTGTTAAAGTATTTTAATACTATTAGATTTCTATCGAGTACTGTATTTTTTTTTTTGTACTGGGGATTGAACTCAGGTCCTTGGACTTGTGCAGCAGGCAGTGAAACCACTGAGCTAAATCCCTGGCCCCAAGTACTGTATTTTTAACATCTTTTGTGTATCCTGCTGCAACTTATTTAAGACATAGAGGTTATATTTTCATTATCAATTTTGTTTTTTAATATAAAATCAATTCTCCCTCTGATTAATACATTTGGCCTTATGTCATACTATATTTACCTGTGGCACTTGGCACTTAAAAATTAAATCAAGTAATGGACCAGGGATTTAGCTCAGTGGTTCTGCCACCTGCCTCAAAAGCAAAAGCTCCCGAGTTTGATCCCTGGTACCAAAAAAAAAAAAGTAAAATCAAGTGAAATTTTCTTAACCCAAACCAGGTAACTCACATTTTTCTGAGAAAATAAACCATATATAGCTAAGTAAAAGAACAATAAAACGAACATCCATATACCCACCTCACAGATTGGTAATGACACAGAAGCCTTGCACTAAAAGGGAATTTTATGTCACTTTCTTGTATTGTCATAACTAATGCTCTGCACTCTATTTTATTTTCTCACTTCGGTTGCAGTTCTTTGTATTCCTTTTTAAGAAACGTACATATACATTCCATATCTAAAGGATAAGATTTATAAGAATGCCTACTGGACTTTTATATTTCTTCTTCAGGGTGTTTCAGTTTTTCCTATTCGATGAGAAATTTAGCACATGAACTGAGGCAAGAGATTGGTATGTGGCCAACTGGCTGGGCAAGTGGGTGTGACCTGTCAGTCGTGGAGATCCAAGAGCCATGCACCCAAGCTCTGCACCTGGAACCAGTCAGAAAGTACTAAAACTCAAGCAGGTTTTGATAGGCTGGACTAGACCTGGAGTCAGCCTGAGGAGTGGGAGACACAAAGATGGCCGCCACTGAGCTCCTGGCCATTGGATTCTCTGTCTCACACCCTGAAGAGCATTATTCTTCCTTACCTTTAATTGGCCTGCACTTGCTTTTTTTCTTTTTCTACCTCTAATAAATGTAAAACCTTGCTACCTTTTGTGCTTGTTTTGTCCAATTCTTTGTTCAGGACAGAGGAACCTAGAAAGAATTTCTAGAAGGAGTCCCCAGCACCTGACAACCCTCTCTCACATTTAAGGTCTTTGTGAGTAAAACATGGGGCTTTAGATCCAGACATCTCTTATTAAATTGTTATACTTTTTATGTAACATTTGCCTTAATCAGCCTGACAACAATTTTTCGGATCCATAACTATTTTAACTGAATCTTTTTATTTACTACTATTTTTAAAAAATCATAACATCAGCTCTCAATTTAATTTTGCTTCTCTAGCTTGTGTCCTTACTAGTCTTCGCATAGTCCGGAATGCTTCTGCAGCCCTATCTCAGAAATATGTGGCTAGATGTCTGCTTTGGGGACTATAATTTTCTCCATAAGACTCTGTAGCTCTTGCTCCATTATCTTTGGGATTTTATTTACAGAAGAAAGAAACGAGCCAGTTTGTTTTCTGATCCTTTTAGGTCTACCACTTTTATCTTTCTGGATTATTTAGCATCTTTCATTATCCCTATCATCCAAATTTTTTCATAATGCTTCTTTCTGCAGTCTTTTGAAACAAATTGCTAATGTCTAAATGTAGGCTCTCACTGAGGTGGGATAGAAGAAATAAAGAGGTAGAAAAGAAACTAGTTCTAACACATAATCAAAGTTACTCAAGGTGGGCTGGGTGTGGTGGTGCACACCTGTAATCCCAGCACTCAGGAGGCAGGGGCAGGAGGATCGCTGCAAGTTGGAGGCCAGCCTGGGCTACATAGTGAGTTTAGGGCCAGTCTGAACTACAAAGCGAGAGCCTGTCTCAACAAACAAACAAACAAACAAACAAACAAAAAGTTACCCAAGGTTATCGGTATCTTCACTCAGTATCTTTACTCCCTAGGCTTATTTGTTTGTTTTTTAATTTCAGACCTTCCATACTCAAAAACCCTTAAAAATACTATAAATTCATAAATTAACTTAGCAAATAGAGTAAGGGGCTGAAGCCTGACCTTAAGATGAAGAAACAGGCACAAGGTTTTTAGGCAAAACATCTTAGATTGCCCACCATTTTTTCCTTCCAGTACCGGGGATTGAACCCAAGGCCACCACACTGGCCTACATCACCAGCCCTTTAAAAAAATGTTTTTTAAATGAGAGAGGATCTCGCTAAGTTACTAAGTTGCCCAGGCTAGGCTCAAATTTGCAATTCTCCTGCCTCATCCTCCCAGAGTGCCGGGATTATACACATGCACAACCATGCTGAGGGAGATTACCCACCTTAAGGATACCTTCGAGACCACGTGTACAGCCCCAGCCCCAGACCACAGTGCCCTGTTTAGTGTCCAGACTGCTTTGGCGCTGTGTATGCACTTCTTCAGCTCTGCCTATTAACTCTGCCTGTGCCTCTCTCTGAGTCATCCTGAAATGCCTTTCTGAACAGGAGTCCGGGACCCTACTCCGTGGGGGCGGGGAAGGGGGGCTTGAGGTCCCCGTCTCCTCTTTGGGAAACCTCCTCAGACCCCACTTAGGGGTCTAAGACCCTTGGCAGGGACAGACATGAGAGGAGCTCACTCCGCCTCGCTGGCTCTTCTTGGATCGCCACTGGGTGCTTGTGAGAAGGACTTGGGGGGAGTGGGCCGAGACGGCTGCCACACAGGAGGACGTGAAGCACCAGTCAGATCTGCCTTAAGGAACAGAAGACTTCAGGTCTGGCGGGAAGACCCGGGAAAGGCCAAGACCCCCCACGCTGCCGCGCGATGGAGCCCTGACCACGCTGCAGGAGGGACACTTCCTGTTGAAAGACCTCCACTTCCACGACAGCGAGGGGCTGAACACGGTCAGAAGCCTTTAAAGAGAAGGTTGGTATGCATTTAAATGTTGTCTTCCTCATGAGAATCAAAATTTTTCTTGCAAAAGTTAACAATAAGCAATTTTGTTGCTGTTCTTTTTGTGAAACGAATATAGTATCCCATGATTATTTCTTCGAGTTTTCTTTTGAAAGATAAAAAGAACGTGCACAAAATTCAAATTGTGTAAAAAGGTACAGTCTTAAAGTGAAAGTCGTGCCTGTGCACTTCGACTCTTCTCACAAATGTTACTGGACGACCGGGGGTGGGTCAGGATCTTGCTGTGTTGCCCAGGCTGGTCTCAAACTCGTGGGCTTGAGTGATCCTTCTGCCTCAGCCTCCCGAGAAGCTGCGACTACAGGTGCTTGCCACTAGGCCTGTCCATGAGCCGCGTGACCTTGGCTGAGTTGTTTGGTAGTTAGTGCCTTACTTTTCTTATCTTAAAAAGAGAGCGATAGTAATACCAATATCACTGGGTCTCTATGAACTTCAGATGGGATGTCATATCTGGATCTCATGTGTTTCCATAGCAGTTAATTTTTAACTTTTTTTTTTTGGTACCAGGGATCAAACTCAGAACCTTGCATTTGAAGGGCAGGCAGCAGAACCACTGAGCTAAATCCCCGGCCCAATTTTGAACTTTTTGAGATAATTTCCAATGCAGAATTTTAAAAATAATACAGAGTTCTTACACAACCTATGTTTAATTTGGTCATCTTCTATAACCATAGCAGAGTTCTCAAAACCGAGAAATCAAGTTGGGGTGGTGCTGCACAGCGGCATTCCCAACATTCTGGGGGCCAAGGCAGGTGGGTCGCAAGCTCAAGCCCAGACTGGGGACTCAGGGACTTAGTGAGACCCCATCTCCGAATACAGAATTTAAAAAGGGCTGGGGATGTAGTTCAGTGTGAAGGCTCTGGGTTCAATTCCCAGGACCCCCTGACACACACACCCCTAAGAAATTGACATTTGCGATGGTCTAAATATTTGTGTCCTCCCACATTCTAAATTCACATTCTGAAATCCTACCCCAGATGGCTGGGCCTTTGGGATGTGGCCAGGTGCTGAGAGTAGAATCCTCCTACACAGGATGCGTGGACGGCTAACTGGCCCTTTCCTGTGTGAGGCACAAGCATAGTCCACTGAACACTAAACTGCTGCCCTTGGGCCTTGCACTTCCTCGCCTGCAGAGCCCTGAGCAATCTGTGCTTGGTTTAGAAGCCACCCAGCCTGTGGTCCTTTATTACAGAAGCCCGAATGGACTCTGCTGAAATTGATACAGCACTGTGAGCTTCCGTATTCGGGGCCACAGCCTCTCTGACTTACACCACTATGCTCTTCCTCTCTTCCGGGGCTCCGTCCGGAAGCCCACATGGCATCCATCATTTGTGCCTCCTTCGTTTCTTCTCCTCTGTGCTAGTTCCTGTCTCTCTTTGTTTTTTATGTGCTTGACTTTGGAAGAATACTGCTTAGATATGTTGTGAAATGTCCTTCAATTTGGGTCTGTCTCATTACCCATGGGTTCCTGATTAAGTCGAGGTTATGTGTTCCGGGCAAGAGTGGCAGAGAGGTGACTTTATGTCCTGCTTGGTGCACCGTATCAGGGGGCTTGTGGTACCCCGTGTCTTGTTAATGGTGGTATTAACCTTGGTCACTTAGTGATGGAGGTGGGGGTCAGGTTTCTCCACTCTTCGGTGACGATTTTCCCCCTTTGTAACCAATAAATATTTGGGCTGCTATACCTCGATACTCTGAAACTATCTTATTTTTTCATAACCTTTCATCCACTATCTTGAACACTGGGCATTGGATTTTACCTGCAACAGTTATTGTTCTGTTGTTCAAATGAGGAGTCTCTATTTCTCTCACCCAATCGGTATTGCTTAATTGGAATTCTTCTGTAAAAGCTGTCCCTTCAGATCCCCTTTTATTCATTCATTCATTCATTCATTCATTCAACTACTTATCATATCAGTACCAGCAGAGATATTTTTACCTATAAAACAGTAGGTTTCCATGAAAGCACGTTCTCTTCTAGCTGACATAACCATGCCCCAAGCAGAGGACCTACAGAAACCCCCAAGTAGTATGCTTTTGACACCTGGGTTTGCTCCTCACATGATGGTTGCAGATGCCCTGGTGCTTCCCCCCGAATCTCCCTGGGACCCCACTTACTGTAGCCCATCAAGGTGAACGCTCCTATGAGCATAATCCCAGTCTGCAGAGCATCAGTGTAGATCACAGCAACCAGGCCACCTGTGGGGAGGCACAGAGGTGAGGATGGGAGGATTATTCTGGGGCAGAGAGAGAACCGGAAGGTCAAGACCCGATGTATTTCTTAGGGTTGATCGCTTGCAAAAATGACCACCGTGACTTCCCCCACATGCGTGAACATCCACAATACACCTTTGCTGCACCTCTTATATTGAGATGGAGCTGATTTCTCTACCTCTTAAATGTGCTCTTGGCCCTGTGACTTGCTTTAGTCCATAGAACATGGAGGAAGTGCTGGTGTGCAGCTCTGGGCCTCACCCTCCAGGACCCTGAGGCCCTGGCTCTGGTTCTGATGTTGCCCTGCGAACTCCGTGCATTAGGAAGCCCAGTCTAACCCAGTGGAGGATGCTGCCCCCGTGGAGGGGAAGCCCAGCCCGCAGCCCAAGGGAGCCGCCAGCCACGTGAGTAGTGCCATCAGTTCCAGCCACATCCCAGACACCATCCCGCTACCATTCAATAAACAGGAGAGACCACCAGCCACCAGGAATCCATGGAATTGAGGGGGAAAGTGAACCGTTGTTGTTTAAGTCCTTAAACATATGGGCGGTTTGTTATACAATTTCTCACCGAAACAGGAAGTGATGTTTGGGCCACCACCATCCTCAAGCCCTGAACACTGTTATCTTTTAGCATGGGAACAAGGAGGTTTTTGAAAACCCTTTGGACTTCTTTAACAGGGTCATGGCGCTCTGGCAAGAGGATTCTTGTGGGTTCGCCACCTTGAAAAATCTTTACCATGACAATAATGGAACTAAATTCACCAGCATCTGGACCGAGCATTTCTCTAGTCTCTTCTCTGTACCTCCCTCTGTCCTCCTTCCTCTGGAGGAAGGGACACTCATCTGATAGGAACATGTTTACTAGAGGGCAGGTCACTGGGCAATCAAAAAAACATACAGATGGGTATGGTGTCCTTGGTCTGTCCTTCCTCATCAGCAGGAAGAGATCCTGTCACACAAAGGAACGGCAGCTGGCTTTGATCCTGGCACCATGCTCTGCTGTCTTCTCCGGACTCAGCCTGAAGGTACTGAGATCCTAACCCTGGGTCTCACGCACATAAATCCATCCTCGTTTCCCTGCTACTGCTTCTCGAGCACTTATCATTTGCCAGGCATTGTGGTGGGCATTTGACTCAACCAGTCACCAAATACATGGGGAGCGTCCAGTGGTTCTCATGAGAGGGATACAGAGACCCCGTGGAGCCTGCAGTCTAATGGGGGAGACAGAATTACCCCAAACGAGGAGTTCAGAGATAATTGGCTGTTTGGACCAGGCCTCCCTCTCCCCTACTCCAGTCTTCCGTTAACTCTTAGAACTCAGACACAGTCTTCCATATCAGGGGTCTTTGCATGTGAGATTTTGTTGCTTTTCTGTTTCGAGCATCTAATAGTGTCCCATGGGAACAAAATTCAGGCTTGCTCTATTTCCTCAAAGCTTAGGTCTCTCTCCTCTTCTCCAGGTCTTCTATCAGGCAGCTGCACGGCAAATGACGTGTGTCTGGTTTGTCTGAATGGCGCCCAGGCGCTACATAGAACATGTGCACAGCCGTGTGCTCACCCAGCTTTGGCCGCAGTCCCCCTGCTGCTCCTTAGGTGAGCAAAGCACATGCTCACCTCACACGCTCCTGCCGCCTCTCCTCTGCCTGGCGTTCTCTGGCCCCCTGCTTCTCGTGGGTACCACTGAATTACGGTGTCATCCCAGAGAGGCTTAACTGACATTTCTCCACGACTCCCCATATCCTCACCCGACTCGATTCTCATTCATGGCGCTAAGGACACATTTGTGGATTTCTTCCTTCACTATCTTGTCCTTATCCCCACTAGAGTGTAAATCCCTTCGAGGCGGAGAGTTCTGTTCTGTCTCATTTACTCCTGTGCTCTATTTCCTAACATGCTGTCTGGCACACAGTAGGTGACGTGCACATTCACACGGAAGTGTGTGTGCGTGCGTGTACATTGTGCAGTCACTTATCCTGTACCAAGAAAAGGCAGGGAAGGAGAAGCTGGAGCAGATGAGAAGGTAAATACGAAAAGATGGCTCCTTGTCAAGGCTCTACTCTGTGCTGGGGACTTTTCTAGGATACAAGTCTGAGGGAGAAAGACGAAGCTGCCCAACTTCCCACTCCAGAGTGGTGGTAGTGCATGCTCCAGCCCTGCGGATGTGTGGGAATGCACAGGCATAGCACCTGGCAGATCCTCAGCAAATAGCTCCGAGCACAGGAGTGGGAAGAACCTTTCTATGGGTGAGGTGCATTTCACCAGTTCTTTTCTTTTCCTTTGGACAATGGCTAAGAGAAATCTTACATCTGTGCCAATGGATAAGGGTTAATGAATGAGTGGTCTTAACACACTGAGGCATGGAAGAAGAGCCAGGAGGAGATGGGGTTGGCCCCAGGCCCCGCCCACTGCCTCTCCCAACAGTGCTCCTCGGTCAGTCTTACCTGCAGTGGTGTACAGAGCTGTGATGGCCAGCAACCCGACTATGGCCAGGTACAGATCCAGGTCCAAAGACTGCTGAATAAAGATGGCACCTGCATACATGTCCACCTGTGGAGACGGGAAACCGACAGGTGAGTGAATGAATGAATCAATGAATGAAAATTTGCAGCAGTTTTCACTCGGTTCTGACTCCAGCACAGATTCTGATAAATACAAATGAGCCGTGTGTTATCTTTTTAAAAATTTCACTTTCGTTTATCTCACCCCAGGTCAGGATCTCAGACCCAAGGCCTGCAGGAATTAAGTTTGAGGGCCCCGCCCAGGCAAGCCCAACCTCCCCTGTGACCTTGCAGGTTCCAGTCTTGGTCTTTGCTCCATTCTCCACACGGCCACCTTCCTGAGCCCATCCCCATCACACTGTCCTTCCCCCCATTGGGAGTCTTGGATGCTCCCACCGTCCCCAAGGTAACAGCTGAATGCCCGAGTTAGAGCTGCACGCCAGCCACACCCTTGATGGTTCTCCTGCTTCTCAGCCCCATTTCCTTTACTCCCTTTGAATCCCTGGTCCTCCAGGCTCTCTCAGGAACACTCCCCCTGTCCCCAAGGCTGCAAGTGGGTGCCCCAGACAGGGCTGTCCCTTGATCTGAGGCTGGAATTGAGTGGCTTATCATTGGAATGAATGGAATTCCTTCTGCCCATCACCCTCCTCCCATAGGACTAACTTCTCCCAATCCCCAGCTGCAGCCCAAGCCAGACCCACCAAACCGCATGTGGCTCTGTCCTCGGCCCGCCCCATTCCACAGGTCTGGCCAGCCAAAGGTCAGGGTGAGGCAAGGCCCCTGGCCATCAGTACACCCGGCCAAGAGCTGCGCATGGCCTGATCCCAGGAGGAAGATCGAGGTCCCAACAGCAAGGCTACTGGGGTTCCATTCAGAAACCCCCACCATGCTGAGCTGGCTTCAGAGAAGCTGGGCAGGGGTGGAAAGGGAGGCCTGTGGTCTGCCTGTCTTTCTCACGTCTTCCTCTGTCCCTTCTTACCCTTTCCCCAGTCTCTCCCATCTTCCTCTGACCCCCTGAACCTGCCCAAGAGGAGGGGAGGCAGATGGGGCACCCAGCCATCCGCTTCTCACCAGTGCAGTAGTGTGGCCAGGCCGTGTCTCGCTTACCGAGATCTTGGTAAAGATGTAGATGAACAGGTAGAGCACAGCCAGGGTGATGGAGATCCTGCTGCCACCAAAGCGCTTCCTGAGGTATTCGGGCATCGTGGTGACCTGGGAGCAGAGCCCAGCTTCCAGCGCCCAGTGGCTTTGGCCCGGTGGTCCCCTAGCCACCAGCCCTTCCCACTCCCGCCTTCCTTCCCCGACTCAGAAGCAGCAAGGGTCTTCCTGGGCTTCTCAACGGGAGACTTGAGAAGAAGGGAGAAAGTGGGCCCACGCCGGGGTGGGAGGAGCTGGGGCCTGCAGCAGCGTGTACCCCACTGTCACACATACAAACATGAAGTGTGCCTAGGCCGTCACCCCTGTGTGATTTTTCACTTAATGTTTTTCTTTAAATCAACTCACTTTTTTATTCAAATAAATTTACCTAAAAGAAAATTTAAGGGCCGGGGATTTAGCTCAGTGTTTCCGGTGCCTGCCTCGCAAGTGCAAGGTCATGAGTTCGATCCCTGGTACCCCCAAAAAAAGAGAAAATTTAAAACCACCACTATCAATAGAAAACCAGTCTTCAATTTAAGGGAACCCTCAAAAATAAATACAGGAATGTACATGTTTGCTGGGATAACTTTGAGACTGACACATATGAGCCCACATCCAACCCCTAGAACATCGTAGACCTTTGTTCTCCTACACTCTAACACTCTTGATATATTAGGCAATTTTAAATTCTCGAATTCAAAGCTGTCTTTAAAAATAAACATACTTCTTTGTTAACGCATCATGTGAAACAATACCCCATAAACTAACATATCCATCGCTTTGTTATATATGTAACACCTTTCACTTAACATTTGGCAAAATGGAAAATAAAAACCCCTGTAAGGCTATAACACTAAAAGAAAACAAGATAAAAATACAGGAATGAGGGCTGGGGATTTAGCTCAGTGGTTTCACCACCTGCTTCACAAGCTCAAGGATCCGAGTTCAATCCCTGGTACCAAAAAAACCCAAAAACAAACAAAAAAAACCCAATTACAATAAAAATGCAGGAATGATAGAACAACTCATTTATTTTCTATTCTTTTCTAGCAACATATACTGTTGCCCATCAAAACTCTGGGCTCAGAACCAAATTATTCTTTCTTTAAAAAGCAAAAAGGAGAGGAGAGGGGAGGGAGAAGAGAGAGAGAGAGAGAGAGATTGAAAATTGTTCAAGTGTTAAGGGCAATTCTGGCTCCAAGGTGAGACGTAGCCCTGAGTCCTCCTGACAAGACCATTGTACAGTGTACCTCATCCTGTCCCCCATAAGCACGGATAATTATGTCAATTAAACATAAAATAAAGCACATTTAAACATTTTAAGTGGAAAGACAATGGGAAAGGGCAGGACTCCCCACGGGATCGGGTGGAGTTAGCCCCATGGCCATCATCTCAGGAGTTTCTATTTGTCCAGACACTGGGGAGGCTGTTCCCACTGTGCCCCTGCCACCTGCTCCCCAGGAGAAGAGGGGATTCTAGGAGCAGAATGTTTGGGGAGACACAGATGCTCCCATTAGGGAGGACTGAATTCTGGCTGCTTCCTGTGCTGTGGGTGGGATTCTGAGGGGAGAAGGCACCATACCAGCTGGGACGCCCACAGTAGAGCTGCTGAGAGCTCTACTGGGTTCCATTCTCCCTGCCCTTCGGAATAGCCTTTCTCCCTTTTCTTGGCCTGCTGCACCCCCAGAGTGGGAGTTGACTCTGGGATTCAAACCAGCAAGCGCACTCCATGTGGTTCCAGATCTTGGACAGGGAAGATCAGAGTAGTAGTGATATTTGTAGAATACAAATTTCTGTATTTGTGGCAACACCCAGGCTGTCACAGCTTGGGTTTTCCCAACTCTAACCCAGGAAAGAGACCAACTTCGAGCTGAGGAATGGCAAACCATCTGTTTGTTTCAAGGTCAGATGATTGGGCAGAAGAAGACAGGGAGAGGCCTGATGGCCAGACTTGCCTCAAGAATTATAAATTGTTCACTGGTCATTTGAGAGATGCAAATGAAAACAACACTGAGATTCCACCTCACCCCAGAAAGAATGGCTGCTATTATGAAATCAACCAACAACAAACGCTGGCGGGGCTGTGGGGAAAGAGGAGCCCTTCTCCATTGTTGGTGGGAGTGCAGACTGGTGCAACCACTGTGGGAATCAGTATGGAGATTCCTCAAAGAATATTCTAATAGAGCACCTAACCCGAATGAAATGTAGGCACCATGAGAGGCACCAGTGAGCTCATGAATGAGCCCTGAAAACTCTGAAGCAACATGATTCTGCAACATCACAAGGAGCGTGAATTTTACATTTGTGTTGAGATTTTTAGAAAGTTTCCGCCCACATCTTTCCCACTATCCTTGGATGTGGGTGACCAGGCAGAGCCTCAGGGGCACCCGCTGACCTCCTGGCAGCCTCTCCCAGGGCTGGGCACTGCCCACCATCTGCCAGATTCTGCCAGTGGACAGGGCTCTATGCCTGGCCTCCCAGAGGGCCCCCACGCCACACACCCTGACCCCTCCGCTCACCTGGCCGGCGATGTAGATGGGAAGGAAGACCCAGGACAACATCAGCACAGAGAATAAGCCCTGCCCAAGAAAGCACAGTTAGAACGTGGCTTCCAGCTCCCGTGAAGGTGCTGACAGATTTCTCCTCTGCACCCTAAGGCAGCCTGGCCTGAACTCTGCCTCTGACACAGTCCCTTGCTTGCTGAGTAGCTCACCTTCCCTGGCCTTCATATTTGTATTTTTACAATAGGGAGAAGAGAGCCAGGTGTGCTGGATCACACCTGTAGTCCCTGCCTCTTGAGAGGCTGAAGCAGGAGACTCTCTGGACCCTAGAAGTTTGATGCCACTGGACAACATAGCAGGACCCTGTCCCAAGAAAATAGAAACCAAAGAACCAAAGACAAACAAAACCAACAACCAATGAGGGAGGAGAGGGTTAAATAGGAAGAGAAGAACGGCAATAGAAGACTTTCGTGGTGCCTTTTCATCCCATTTCCTCGATGCCTCATTACTGCTTTCTTTCAGCTGCACTCCCTCCTCTCCTCAGCAGCAGTTAAAACAAAGCTGAGGGAGGCTGAGGCAGGAGGACCAAAAGTTCAAGCCAGCTGGGCAAATTCGCTAGACCCTGTCTCAGAATAAAAAATAATAAAAGGCTAGAGATGTCACTCAGTGTGAAGACCCTAGGTTCACACTGCACTTCAAAAACGAAAAGCAAAACCAAACAAAATCCCAAGGCCTCGAGACCCTGGAGCAAAGTCGAGCCACACCAGCGAGGTGCTGTGGCAGAGCTCACACGGGGATCAGACTCGCTTTTACTTGTGCGCTGGGGCAGCAGTGCTTCGCCAGTCCTCCACCAGGACACCGTGGAGAGGACGCTTGCCGAGCACCCGTTGCACGCTAGACACCTGCCCCTGTGCAAGCGCTGACTCACTTCGTGCTCACAGTGGCTCTGCCTGGCAGCCGCTGTTCGCACCCCATTCTGCACACAAGCGTGAGCAGCGTAAGTAATCCCCCGAGCTCACAGCGTTATGCACCGCTCCGGGACGAATGCCACGATCAGGGCCTCTGTAACTGAGCTCCGGATTACGACAGTGCATGTGACCGGCTTGATCCGTGCCCGGGACAGGGAAGCGCTTTGAAAGTGGCAGTCATGTGCGAGTGAGAGTCACCGACAATAAGTGCAAACCCCCTTCCCAGGAAAAGCCCTCCGGTGTGAGGCCTGCTCTCTAGAAAGAAGCCCCATACTTTCTCTTGGGCATCTCTAGGGGATCAACAAGGTCAAATACTACCATGTTGTATAATTTTATGTTTTTACTGTACGAGGGATTGAACCCAGGGCCTTCACCTTGAGCTACATCCTCAGCTCTCTTTTTATTTCTTTATTCTGAGACGAGGTCTCACTAAGACACCAAGTTGTCGCGCTGGGCTTGAATTGGGATCCTCCTGCCTCAGCCTTATCGGCGTGTGCTGCATGTCCAGCTCTGAGCAGTATAGCTTCCATGATGGCCAACTAATGCCTAAAATGTACAGAAATGCCCTGCAGTCTGTGATGGTTTCTTTTTTCTGTGCCCATCTAGCAAACAGGAAGACCTGAGACTTACAGATATCCCTGAATTGAGTGCAGCAGGGGCACCCTCGAAGTCTCCTGTTTGTTTTTCCAGAGTGCTGCCCAGCTGGTGGGGTGGCAACGCCAGTGATCCCAGCTACTTCAGGGGCCGGTGCAGGTGGACTGCAAGCTTGAGCCCAGCCTGGCGACTTAGTGATTTAGTGGGACCCTGTCTCAAAGTAAGAAATGGAAACAGCCAGGGTGCAGCTCTTCCCTACCACACGTGAGGCCTCAGGTCCAGCCCCAGTACTCCTCACAAACAAGGTGGGGTTCTATTTTTGGAGTGCGGGCATTCACACTTCTGCCCCCAACCTGCCTATCAGGTAGAGGTAAGAGGTCCGTGTCCAGGGCTGAATACTTACATTGAACTCATAAGCAGCCACAGAGATGCCTACAGACGCGCCTGACCCCGCCAAGCCAATGAAATGTCCACTCCCGATGTTGCTGGCAAACAAAGATGCCCCGACCTGTGGGCAGAGGACAGGCAAAGGGTAGGATTGGGCCAGAAAGGGAAGTGGATAAAAAAAAAAATTAAAAAAAAAAAAAGGGAAGTGGAGAAGGTAGTGCCATCCCTACCCTATCTGGCACCCTTGTTCAAATTAGAAAAAGACTCTTTCCCTATACTCTTACTTCCACCAATCAGAACCTTACAAACACAGGCATATACACAAGGCCTAAAATGTGAATTGCACCTCCTAGGGGATCCAGTATACAGCCTGAATGACTGTCCGCAGCATCTCCAGAGGGAAGAATGACAGGTGCTATGGCTTGTACCCCGATGTCCCCCCGAAGCCTCATGCGGTCATAGGTGGGGAGTTTTGAAGGAGACTGGATTAGGGTGTGTGATGCTGGGATTAAGGGTGCCCTGGCCTGGGTGTGGGTGGCACCACCCAAAGAGTAGGCAGCTTGGATGGAATATGAAGCCACAGAAAGTAGCTACTTGGCTGCTTGGCTGCCTTCTGCCTGCCATGAACAGTTTCTCCTCTGCGATGCCCTTCTGCCATGCTGTGCTGCCTTGGAGCCAGCTGATTAGGGACTGAAACCTCTACAAACTGTGAGCCAAGTAAACCTTCCCTCCTTTAGCTTTGGGTGTTGGGTATTTTGTCCCAGCAGTGAGGAAAGTAACTAAGACAACCAGTGCTCCCCAGCCCTGCTTCTAACACAGCAAAGTAGACAGCCCTTCTGGGAGAGGGTGCAGTGGTGGAGCTGTACGCAATCACTCCACTCTCTGGCCTCAGCAGACTGGATTGGACCTGCCGGGGCCAGTCATGCTGCCTCTCCAGGGACTGTGGAATGGGGTGGGCTCTGCTGTGCCTTGGACTGGGGACAGGGAAGTCAGGGAGCTGCGTGACGGCGGGGAGAGGTGTGCTCAGCCACACACTCTCAGTGGGCCTTGCAACTAGGGGAAGGGTGTGGGGCTTTCCAGGGTACTGCAGACAAGTAAAATAATGACAGTTCTCAGAGAATGGGTTTTAGAAGAGCTTCTTCCCCATCCTGGCCTCTCCTGTTGCTTTTGGGGTACTCGCGGAGCTAAAGAGAGCAGAATGGCAACAGAGCCAGGAAGAACACCCCAGAAGTTCTTACTGAGATTCAGCTGTTTCCTAGTCACCAAGTAAATGCAGCTGCATGAGTGAGCCCAGAGGGGGACAGCAGAGGAGCCAGGCAGCCAACCCGTGGAGTCATTAGAGACAATACACTGAGCTCTGTAAGCTGCTCAGCATGGGGAGGGCTGTGTACTGGCTGCTGAGTGACAACAAAAGGGTTAAAATTCCTCAGCAGCAGAGCTCCTAGACACCCATGTCCCTCTTGCCAGTGGGAGCAAGTGGTCACAGGCAGCAACAAGCCTTTGACTTCTAAACAACACGGAACAGAGTCCAGAGATGGAATCGCAGCACCTAAATGTCTTCTGAAGCAACATTTTTTTCATATGGTGCTGGAAGTTGAACCCAGGGCCTGGCACATGCTAGGCAAACAAGCACTCTACCGCTGAGCTACACCCCCCAGCCCAAAGAAGTGACTTTTTGATTGAAGCAGACAGCACTTACTGGCCACCACACCATGTCTCCTCCAGCCAAGAAGTAGCCTTTCACTGTGTCTGTCTTGGTCTTCACAGTGGACTGAAAAGAAGGCAGGAGCTGAAGGTGATGTTAGCAGTCAGAGGCATCCTGGGGGCTTAAGGCACGGACTGTAACCTGCAGGTCCCATGGGCAGGATTTGGAAGTCAAATATATTTTCCTTACCTACAGGTTTTAGTGTGACTAAATTTTAATGTGACTGTCTTTAAATGAGACAAAAACTCTTCTGGCCAACGCGGGCCCTGCCAGTCCCTGCTTCACACATTTGTGATAAAGCTCCTCAGTCCCCTGGGGACTTGAGCTTCAGACTCATGGCTTGTCTGGGGTAGCTCATGGTGGACATCATTTATTGAATATTTACTGTGCTCCTGACACTATGCTAAGCCTTTTATAAGCATTAGCCCAATTTAATGCTCACTAACCCCTATTGAGCCAGTTTGACATGTGGAGAGCCTGAGGGTCATGTCCTCCTAGTCTACTCTGCTGCAATAACAAAACGCTCGAGACTAGGTAACTTATAAACACCAGAAGAGTACTGCTCACAGTTCTGGGGGCTGGGAGGTCCAAGATAGGAGCCCATAGGTTTGACATCATGTGTCTTTGCACGGTGGGAGCGGGAGAGCAAAACTGCTGGCTAGTCCCCTGATCTTCTTTTATAAGACACCCAGTCTGACACACAAACTCACTCCTAACTGCCTCCTCATGCCCCACATCTTAATGCTGTCCCAGTGGTGACTAGGCCTCAACATTTGGGGAAATACAGGTAATTCTTAAACACAACATACAAAGTGAAAAATACGGTCAATCTTTAAATTTTTTAAATCTTCCTCAAATACCCTGCCCTGGCTTCAAACACACTTATTCCGTCATTCTTGCCAGTTTCTGAAGTGGCTCTCAAAATTCCAGTCTGTGAATGTCCTCAGTTGCATTGTTGTGGCTGCTTTGATTTTCTGCATCGATCCAAAGTGTTTACCTTTTGCAGTCATTTAGACTTTGGGAAAGAGCCAGAAGTCATATGGTGGCAGATCCAGTAAATACATGAATGAGAGCACACTGTAATGTTTTGTGTATTTTTTGGTACCGGGGATCAAACTCGGGACCTTGCGCTTGGGAGGCAGGCGCCGGATCCCCTGAGCTAAATCCCTGGCCCAACACTGTAATGATTTTAAGAGCCTGTCTTTCCATTAGCTGGCACTGGGGACCAGCAGACACCATATTTTTTATCACACTTCCTAGAGACACTCACAAAAGACTTCCAGAACTGCTTCAGAAAGTAGAAAGAAAGATGGGATGAGTGTGTCCAAAGTGAGGGCAGGCTGTTGAGGAGGATTCATGGCAATGTGACTTTTACCACAATAGAATTTTAAAACAAACCAATATTCACTATATATTTTTATGACGCCTCATATTACACATGGGTGTAATAGGAATGATCAGCCTCATTCAGTGTGAGATGAATGCATGTCAACAATACATTGAGCTATTATTTTCCTCCTCCATCAGTTTGGCTAAAAAGGAAGAAGTGTGACAGTGCACTGGTGGAGAGGATGTGATAAACACAGGCTTTGTCGTGCACCAGTGTTGAGTGTGCTGATTTGTCTGGGTGTTTGGACACCAGATAGGATGAACCCTTTAACCTGATAACCTACTGCAGGAGATTTACCTTACATTTGAGCTGTGGTCCAAAACAATGAGTGTACAAGGGTTGCTTATCATAGCATTGACAGGAAGAGATGGGAAAAACCCCAAACTGACCCTCAGCAAGGACTGGGAAATAAGTTACCAGAACAACTGGGATACTGTGCAACTTTTAAGAAGACGAAGAAAGTTTCACAGCACATACTGATATGAAATGACACCTAAGGGTTACTGATAAGTGAAAAATAACAAGAAAACCCCCAGCATGGATAAGCTGGGAAATAAGAAAAAGGGAAATGTATGTATTAATATTTGCTTTTATTTGCATAAAGAAACTGGAAAGATACCCTAAATTACAGCGCTAACAAGCTAATAGCAGTGGTTACCTTTGGAGACAAGGGTAACAGAAAGACTTGACACTATGTCCTATGCTATTTTATTTTTAAACCATGTGACAGTATTGCCTTTCAATTTTTTACTTTAAATTTAAAAAAAAAGAGAATAACCTTCAAAGTAATAGAGATTCTTATTCTGGCTCTTGTAACTTATAAAATAAGAGGCTTCAGTTTGGGGGGCGGGCCAGGTGACTGAGGATTGAATCCAGGGCCTCCTGCGAGCTAGGCAAGTGCTCTTCCACTGAGCCACATCCCCAGTTCTAGGAGCTTAAAGTCTCTGAAGGCCAGTTTCACTTTTTTTTACCTGCAAAATAGGTGTAGCATCTTCCTGAGAGGCACCTGTGCAGACTACAGGGGTAACAGAAGTGAGATGCTCAGCCTGGAGCCTGACACACAGTCAGCACCCGATGTGTTTTTAGTGGTGAACGTTCCGATTACTCTATGGTCTGGCGCTAGTTTTTTCTTCTCTCAGTCAGTATTTTATCTCCAAAATGATGGGGTCACCTTGGACTTTACCCTCTGTGGCCTGGCTTACCCATAGTCCAACAGCAAGGACAAAGAGGAAGTATAAAACCAGCACAGCGATGTCACCTGGCTCCAAGCTCTTCCGGGGAAATGGCTCCAGGGGATCAGAGTGTGGAGGTTGAGCTCTGCCGTCGCCGCTCTCCATGGTCCTGAACCGGCCCTCTCGGTCCTGGGAAGAGCAAGCACTGGTCAGAGAACAGAAGCCAGAATCCTGCTCCTTCTCATCCTGGCTGTAGCTGTCTGTCGGGGCACCTGAGGAGGACCCCAGTCTGGGTGTGTGGCAGACAGACTGTCAGGAAGACACCTCCATCCATCCATCCATCCATCCACTCACTCATTCGTTCATTCGACAAATATTTACCATGAATCACAGCTCACACTTAGTTATTGTTGTGTTACCAGTGCCAGCCACTCACTTGGCAAAGTATAAAGTTGGGTAAACAACGTACACAGATGGTTTCTATATCCTTTTCTACTTACCAAACACATGTGCCAGACTGAGAGGAAAACTAGACACATGAACTGCTTCCCATCTCAAAGGCCTCATACCTCATAAGGCTCAATCAAACACCACAATATTGTTCCTGTGCTGGATATGCCCACAAAATCACATGTATTTAGTACACAGCTGTACACCACCTCCTATGTGTCAGGCATTATTCTAAGTGTTCACCAACCTGAAAAATGGGCACCATTGTCATAATGGTCTGCTAATAGGTGATGAAGTGGAAGCATGGAGAAGTTAAGTAACTTGCCCAAGGTGGGGCTGGGATTTGAATTCAGGGGATCTTGCCCCAGCATCCACACTGTGAACCCCTTTCCCAAGCTCTTTCTCAGTAGGCTGCATGTCCATGGCAATTTGAGGGGTTCCTGTGGTAGACAGGACAATGGCTCTGAAGAGCCCTGACCTGTGACTATGTTGCTACATAGAGCAGGACAGTGACATCTGCAGACAGAATTAAGGTCCCTAGTTTAAAGTAGGGAGGTGGCCAGATGTATCTGAGCTTAGAACAAGGAGAGGCCGGCCAGGCCTAGGGGCACACACTTACAACCCAAGCACTCTGACAGACTGAGGCAAGGGATCACAAGTTCAAGCCCCACCTGAGCAACTTAGCGACTGAGGGAGGACCTGCTCAAAATCAAAGGGGCTGTGGATGTAACTCACTGTGAAGGCCCCAGTACTAAAAAACTAAACAAAACAAAAGGAAGGAGTTAGCTGGATGATCAGGGTAGACCTAATGCAATCACAACTCTCAGACAGGAGAACCAGAGAAATGGGGTTGGCTCAACATGCTGGCTTGTAATGGGATGATGTAGCGCTTGACCAAGGGACACAGGTGTCTCCCAGAAGCCTGATCAGGCAAATTAATAGCACTCAGAAGGAATTCAGCCTTGCTGGTGCCTTGACTTTAGCCCAGGAAGATCCACCTAGAACTACTGATCTCCAGAACTGTAGGATAAGAAACTTGTGCTGTGTGAGCCACTAAGTCTGTGACAATTAGTTATAGCAGTGATCAGAAATGGATGCACCCCCAAAGGGTAATTTTTTATTATAAGTGATGAGGGCACTGACTTACATATACCATGGTGTGCAGCCTAGGGCTTCGGGAATGAGAAGACTCAGTCCCCTCCCTTCCCAATACAAGGGAAGGCCCTTGTATGGGCCCTGAGAGGGGACAATCCACTTTGGACAATACCAGCCCAAGGAGGGGCTTTGTGTACTGCAGGTGCATAGAGTTAGAGCTGTTAAGAATTCAAGCTCTGGTGGCACCGCTCCCAGTGCAGAGGAGGTAAACCACGCAGGCACCAGCAGCAAACCTGTTCCCTCCCCCATTGAAATGAGAAGACACATAAACAACCCTCAAAACCAGACTTCCAGGGCTGGTAATTTAGCTCAGTGATTTCATGGCCTGCTGTGCAAGCGCAAGGACCCAAGTTCAATCCCTGATTCCAAAAACAAAAAAGTGAGGGGAAGATTTCGGGGCTGGGGATTTAGCTCAGTGGTTCTGCCACCTGCCTCACAAGTGGAAGGTCCTGAGTTCAATCCCTGGTACAAAAAAAAAAAAACAAAAACAAAACCAGACTTCCACATACAGCAACCCCAAAGGGAAAGAAGATGGAACACTCTGATACTCAACCACCTGGACTTCCTGAACTGGCAACAAAAGAGGATTTGGAAAAAAATGAAATCAGAAATAATTTTGCAGATAAGAGCAGAGATTGTGCCCATAGTGCAAGACATGGCTAATAAATCTAGAAAGGATGCAGATTTAAAAAAAATAGAGGAGCTGAGGAACATGATGGAATCCCAACATAGGAAATAAATGGAATACATAAAACAGATGCAAACAGATTTCCAGGAGATTAAAAACTCCATCGAAAGTCTGCTCAGCAGAATGAACCAATGTGAGGATAGAATTTCAGCTATAGAAGATAAGATTGCAATTAGTGACCAGGAAAAGAAAAATTGCTTTAAAATTGTAA